CCAAGGACCTCCAACACACTAAGTTAACAAAACAGACTCTGCACACACAAATCTTTATTAATAAAATGCTTTTAATGCTTGGGTTTGTCTATATCAATACATAGGAAAGCAAAACAAAAAGATGTGAGTGATGGGGAAATCTCATGAGCTCATTATATAGCATAGAGCAGTGTTTCTTATCCCAGTCCAGGAGAACCGCAACACTCTCTCTGCTCCACACGTCTCTGATTTGGCTCAGGCGTTCTGTATCAGGTGTGTTAAGGAGTGAGAGAAAAAAGACCAAACTGTGTAGTGCACAGTTCTCAAGGACAGGGAAATATTGGCAAAGAAGTATACAGATTTCTTGTTCATAATGTCTACGCACGTGAAACGTCTTCAGAAAATAACGCATTGTAATCTGCATTAATAAATTGTACAGGCTACTAGTAACAAACACTATCCTGGAATGCGAGCAAAATGTGAGAGAAGGCTCATGGTATAGATTATAAGTAGGCCACTGGTAGAATAACAGACATAAAAGGTCCGTATACATTTACAAGAGGAAGCACCCAGGTTCACAAGGAACAATAATATTTACTGACAAATTCTAAAGGCAGCCTCTGTCAGCATGAGTGTCACTGTAGCAGTTTTACTTCAAACCAGGTCTGTGGTGAAATCAAGACATTCAGCTCCAACTGCAGCAATTTGAAGTCGAACTGCATCTTGGTGCAGAGTTGGTGTTCTCAAGACACATCTTTAAAAGAACAGGGGGAATACACATCAGCCCAAAGTAATAACATGGTAATTATATATGCAAATGAGGTGTGTGGCCTTGGGATAATTTTGTCAAGCTTAATTTCTGAAGGGAAAAAGGATACTTACAACTAGCAGGCTGCTCCTCAAACCGCCGCATTAACTGATCATGTGTGAACTTCACAAAGGTGTCATATTGTTCTGTAAGACAAATCAATCCAGCATGAAAAGAGAAAATACTGTAGTGATAATATGATCAAATTCACTTTATTAAACTTAACTGTTGTTAAGTAATTTAGTGTTGTTAAATAAGCAATTGCATGCAAATTTTGTGATTTGTGGACAATCCACACAATTATTTTTTAAGGACTGTAAAATCAGCCCTTTTACTTTTTTTGATTTAAAAAATATTTTTTAAAGCCACTATACTTCATTGCAAAGCCTCAACTTTTGCAAGGATGCAAGGTTTTATTCTGTAAATAGCAAAAACGCAACCCAGAAGTACCTTTATTTAAGAGCGTCTGCCATTCTTTCTCCTCAAGTTTATTCTCTTTCTACTTGATTCTATTTCAGGTTTTTTTCATCAGTAGTGGTCCTTACATATATGCAATTTGATACAAACCTGCCAACTTCGAAGTCATGATCTCCTCATATTCTTCTCTGACTTTCTCTTCACGTTCTTTCAAGAGACGTTCGCAAATCATTCCGACCTGCTTCAAAGTAAACAGCGGCTGTTCTCTCCTTGTTGGTGAAACAGCTCCAGAGGATGTATCTGTAAAATAAGTTGTTTCATGTTAGGCACAGCCGAGGATAACACATTCGTTTTCATTATGCTACAACATGAAGCTACACCAGGGTACCAACTGTACTCTGGTGGGGTTGGTAGGGTTCAGCTGTAGGACAATGCCTGCACTTAATTGTATTTACTGGTAGCAACCTCTGCATTTTATGAGTTGTGGTATTTATCTGTTGTACTGCAGTCTTAGTAAAGACCATTAAATATGGTCAACTTCAGACAGTCATCATGACAACATACAGAAAAAAGTATGACACCGGCTTACAGGCCATAACAGCAGATTATACACAGCTCACCTGGAAAGCTGGATCCACTCAAAATAGACGAGTGAGACTGAGACTCGAGAGAGCAGCAAGCCTCGCTCTGTGGAAAGCTTCCATCCAAATGCCTCCGTTTCTGCATGCGCTTGTACTCCTGCTTTATGTTATGAAGGATTTGCTCTGTTTAAGGAAAAATAGCCAGTGGTTTAGTATTAAATATTATATGTGTGTGCAAAAAGGCACCTTGTTTTTGCCATCAACAGATGCCAGAGTACAAACACAACTTATTTTATGTACAGCCCCTTTCCCATAGTGAATAAGCCTAGTTTCAGACTTAAATGCAATGACAATGGTGATTCACCACTGAAAATCTTTTTTTAAGATTAGATTCATTCTTAATCTGGCTCTAGGACACCGAGCCCCTGGAGCTTCTCTTTGGAAAAAAAGATCTGTAGTAATGAATGCATGAATATCTACATGCTTCCTACAAGGATATTATAGTAAATCTGGACAATTACTGTAGTTTACTACAGGATACTACACAAGTATTTTGGGACCAGTCTCCTAGAAACCAGATTATGCTTTAAGCCTTGGCAAAAAGAATTTCCAATGGTGAATCAACATTGACGTTTCAGTTTGGTCCAAGACTAGGCCTAATCCATGTCTGGGAAGCTGGCCCAGTGATTACTATGAAGACAGTACTACTGCAAAACTGTAGGAACTGAAAAAAACATACAGATTATTATAAATGTGTTACAAAACACTATGCAAATCTTATAGTCTCTTGTATGATTAGTACAGATATTTTTTAAAGGGTGTACTGTATGTTTCAACATGGACCAGAAGAACAGTTGCCACAAAATGAAAGAGCTAGCATCGTTATGTCTTAAGGAGGAGCTTTCTGAAAGCTGCGAACCTGTGGTGAGTGTGGCCGACACCTCTCCAAAAGGGGACGGCTCATGGCGGAGGTATTTTCGGGGAGATGAAGAGGAAGAGGAGGAGGACACCGGGGCGCATCTTCTTCTTTTCGACGAGCTGGGACTGAGCAACGGATCGAAATCCATCGTTCTTTTCAGTGTAGCCCCACAAGCCATCGTCGCAAACCTAGACACGTTTAAAAGTAGGAACGCAGCGGTGTACGAGCAGCCAGAAGGTGGGGGTGGACAAAATGAGACGTCCTCTTGACTCGGTCAGGAAAAGCCACTCCGTCGCCTCCTCCGCCTAGCAAACCTGCTGCTAGCTAGGCTAAGCAGGCTAACTAACGTTAAGTTCCCGTTAGCTACGCCGGCCAGCCGAAGGGCCTTTCAGGCGCTTTTCCAGCTGGGTTAGCTAGCGTAGTACTCGGTTTACGTTTCTAACAAAACAAAAACGTGCCTCCTTTTGGCCGGTAAAGCAGGCTATGATGTTATTATAGCTCGCCTCGTTGTGTCTCGGTTGTTGGGGTGAATCCGCCGCTGTAACTAAGGACGTGCTGTTAAAGCGAAAGCGCCGTTTAAGCCCACACGCAGTCTAATGAGAGATTTGGACCCCTCTAAAGAGCTTTATCTTCCACACACCGAGTTTGTTTTTTTTCTCTCCACATGTCGTTGACGATAGGTCCTCTCTCTTCTTCCTTTCTCTACGTTAGTGACAACGTTAAAACTAAACCAAAATGTCTTTTACTGCCACCTCTTGGAATGTGTCACGGAGACACTTCAGAGCACCGAAGGACCTACAGAGAAGGGAAGCATTACAAATCAGCAGTAAACGAGAGGAGGCAGAAACTGGGAATATAGTTCTGCTTATGGCAGTAAACGCAGTTTTGTTAATAGTTGATGAGACTAGATATTAATTGTATAAACCACATTTTATATGAATTTACAGAAATATATGAAAACAGCTCCAAGTGCCCTGTTTTGTTCTTTTCATAACACACACTATATATCCAGGAGTATTATAATAAAGTGTTCTAGAAATGATTTTGTTGGTTTCAGGTTATGTGTTCTCCAGCATTTATTGCACTTGGTTCATTTAGCTGGGGATTCTTATTGTGGAGGATGGGGCTGGGAACGGCCGCTGGCTGTCTGTGTACGTGTGTGTGTAGCTAACAGGCTGTTGGGGAAAGAAGACTCTGCTTGTGTACGGTGTAGATGTGGCCATGAACAGCTGAAAAATAAAGCACCACCACATGTGCGAAGGCTGTGGTCTTTTTTAACAGCGGTGAGCTACTTTAAGGTGCACATACAGCTTATACAGTCTCCATAGAAAAGTATTACCAGTAGAATGGGACACTCTGGGGCATCTGTACATCAGCCTGAGGTCACCCTAATGCCAAGCAACTAGAGGGTATAAAGCTGCGTTCTCTGCTGTGATGCAGCTCCCTCTAATTCCATTAGGAATTAGTGATCCAGAACTAATCATCCAACATCAGTACCTGACCTCACTAATGCTCTTGTGGCCATATCCACACATATGTGGTACCTGGAGGTTACAGTATTTTTGTTGTGCACTTGTGCATGGATTTGGTCTTTGGGCTCACTTAAACTCTGCACTTTATATACAGGAGAACAGTCTTGTTTGTCCACCATGATGTGGACGCAGCAGGCGGTCAGTTAAATGTCACCTGTTAACAACCTGAAACATCTCACTTTCTTAATCAAACCTGGAGAGTTTAACACTTCAGTTGTAACATTTAGACTTTTCTGGAGAGCGGACTCAAAATTAGGCCTCTCTGCCATAAGTAAAATATGCCACCTACAGGGTGCAACAAACAGGCCAGCAGTAATGAGGTAGACTTGGTTAAAAGAAAATAAGTACATGCACCCAACTGGATTTTCTTCCTCTGTTGTCTGTTTTTATTAAAATGTACATGTTGCTCTTATGTGCACTGGTGATGCCTTGCCATGCTGAAGACTCCACAGGTAGCCTTTATTTTGCGTGGGTGTCACCTGGCTTCATAAAAGTCAATGAAACTCTGTATACTTACAACAATGAAACATATTTCTGTAATCCAGTCTAGTTATGCATTGATTTCCACTTTTGACTCATTTTACTGAATACTGAGTATTTTTCAGGAATATCATTAAAGCACTAATGAAGTCGATCAGTTAATGACAATCAATAATATAGTTGTAAATACAAGCAGAAAACTAAGACTGCATTTAACAAGAAAGCCATTAGCATATTTTTTAGCTGAAGAGCTCCAAGTAATCAAATAAACAGACAAACTTGACTACTTTTCAAAATATTTATTTACTTAAAGAAACTTTACTTCTAGACAAGTAATTTACATTGGGATATGAATTCTGATAGTTTGAAGGCTACATCAATCCATGAGATGATACACAATGATTTATCTGGGGCAATGGTTTTGCTAATGGCAAATTTAATCTTTTGTTAATAGTAAACAAGACTAAAAATCAATATTATAAACAGCATCTGATATTAATTCACATATATTAAAAACATAAAACAGCCCCAACAAGAGCCTTCATTATCCAGTTTTCTTTTTAGCTCAAAACACTTTTCAATCTCCATAATATTTTCCAGTATTGATAATACATAATACAAAATGGAGAAAGACTATGAAGGTAGGTTCAGAGAGTAGTTCTCTGATTCAAATGAAAGTATTAATTCATGAATCCAGCTCTGTAGACCGTTCCTGTGGACCAATTTCACAAAGGTAAACAAAGCTATGATTTGTGGGCACAACTTGTTCGCTTTTCAATTCAAATATTGCTAAAATAAAACTTTGCTGAGATACAGTAAGATGCAATCATAAATGCTAAATCTACTGGTAACTATAACAAAAAAATAATGATAGCTTCACAACTCTGCATGTGTCTAATATGCCCAGGATGCTAGGCTGAATGCTGAGAGTTGGGAACGTTGAGCTGAGATCTTGAAGAGGAAGATGGCCTCTCTCTTGATTACTGATAAACCCCTGTACTGAGGTTAGTGATAACACATTATCATGTTTACAAATGTGAAATTGGTCAATTCCATATTATCACCACATTCATCTACGAGGCAAATAAAGTTAAGAATCTCACCTAGTTACAGTAGTTTGCCTCAGCAAAACTGGCTCTAGCTCACCTGGACGATGCATGGATATGCAATAGAGTTACAAAAAATTGGAGGATAAAAGTGATCTGTGATTTAGACAAATGAAAAACAAGCTGCCCTTTTTTAACTCAAAGTACATCACTTCAATCTGCAAACCCACACCTCCTTTTAAAGACTTGCAATTTTGCACCTGAATACAAAAATAACTTCTGTGTATCTAATGATTTAAAGGGCCATGAGAGTTTTGCTATAACTTCTTATAAAATTATGATCCTTTACCTTGATTTTTTCCCCTGTTGTAACACAAACCTAACCAGGATTGAGATCTCTTGCAGTGTTTTGGGCACTGCTTTAGAAGCTCAACATTTCCATTAACTCAGTTGTACAAAGAGAGCCCTCACCCTAAAACAAAAAAGCTAAAGTAATGCATGGAACAATCAAACTTACATCCTTGTGATGCTGATCTAAATTGTGAAATTTTTCATATTGCTTTTTACATCAAATGTTCATGAATGAATACTTTCAATAACTGTTATGAAAATCAACATAAAATTTCAGTTCTGGAAAAATTGTAATATTCCTTCCCACAGCATTCTACTAAACATGTTTCATGTAGCAAAAATAAGACTCTGGACTAGTTTTTCTTACCTTAACCCTGAATTAACATGCCAGTTTTATACAAGCTGGTTAAGCCTAGTCTTAGACTAAAAGACACTGTCAAGAGAGATTCTCCAAGTCTTATTCTTTTTTTGTCTAAGACTGTACGTAGTTTAAAGAAAACTAGCCATGTAAATGGAAAATTTAATTAGTTACAGCCTTATAACCTGTAACTAAACATCATTTTAAATCTTAATGTATCCCTGTGTGTGCAGACGCACAACAAGTCATTTCTGTACTATTTTGCAGCTGTTTAATTTAGCAAGAGCTGCGTGTATGGAACAAAATACTCTTGAGATCAACTGGTGCAATGCTGCACTGTGCCGTTTTCTACTAAAGTAGATGCAATTTCATCTCAGGTAGGTGTGTAACATACATACACTGGCTGTCCAAAGTTGGTCTTCGAACAATGTCTAAAACATGACAGACTTCTTTGTTTTGATGATGGTTTGGAACTGACACCCAAATGGCCATGTTAACAACACTGAAGTGTTATAATAGTTTGTAATGGAGCACAAAATTCAGGCAAAGTTGAAAGACTCTGCTCAATCACTGTTCAACAGTTTGAATCAATGTTTTCAATAAAATAAAATGAAACTCATTGCAGAAGCAACTGTAAAAAATGTTTACTATGTTAGTCCTGTGCAATTTCAGTTTTCAAATGATTAGTAGGAATTTAGACATTTCATAGAATTAAGAATGAAATTATGAAAAAATAATTTCCAAAATGGCTTGTTTTCCAAAAGTGATCAAATCTTGGTGCTAAAAATCTATAAACAGAGAATTACAGTATATGCTTTCCCATTTAATAAGTTCTTATTGATCCCAGACGACATCTTAAACTAGCTAGTTTGCAATATTTACATTTACATTATGTAAGTTAGAACTGAATATAAAATAACAAAACAAATAACTGATGCCAAACCTTTGAACAGTAGTGTAGGCAAAACAAGGACAGGCTGTAACCCCTTGCTTCGCAGCTGACTGCTGATCTCAAGGCCTGATAAGAATTTAAATGTCGTATAGCATGTGCACACACAGGGATTATACCAACATGGCACATTTCACTTTCAACATACAAACCGTTCCTTCTTTAGTTACTCTGACACATAGAAAACACAGTTTCACAGTGTTTGAAGACATCCTTAACAGCCCCAGATCTCAGAAGAAAAAAATTCTTTGGTAGATCATCATAATTGTCATGTGGCTAATGGGCTAAGCCATAAACCCTTCACATAAAGACAACAGTTGTGTCTTTGAATTCAAAGAATCCAAAATTCAAGTCTGACAACTCTTTGGTTGCAGTAGTTCTAGCATCCTGGTGAAAATGTAGCATAAGTAGATATACTTGTAAAAAATATATATATCTAGCCAGGGGTAAATGGGCTTGAGCATAATAAATCTGTTTTGATACAACATACAGAATATGGAGAATTATAAATTATTTTAATGCAATACTATATTAAAAGGTTGTGTCTGCAATCAAAATATATATATATATATATATATATATATATATATATATATATATATATATATATATATATATATATATATAAAAACCTCGTAACTTTTCTTTGGCTGTATCCTAACTTCTGATATGCGAAACCCATGTTACTCAACATCATCTGTGAAGACTTGCATACATAGAGCAAATCTCACACGAGAGTGCAGACCCCATGAGCCACATATCTTTAGTTATGATACTTGGTTTTGAGAAAGTAGTTAAAATTAGCTCTGCACTGAAACACCCCTTACTTTTCAAACTTTAAACACTGTGACCATAATTTTCATTTCAACTCAGTAAACCTTCACTCAAAACTATCAACCAAGATAGCCATTAAGAAGAAAAAAGTTTTTTTTTAAAGCAATCAATATTGTTATACATTTAACAATAAAGATGCAGCATTAGTGTTATTTGCTATATACAGTAAAAGTAAAAGTGCTGTGATTCATTAGCAGTAATCATATTGTAAAAATCCACAGTAAAATCTCTGAATAATACTGATTAAAGAGAACATCTGCTGGTTTGCAGCATCCTTCATACCTGCCCAAATCCTTCTGAGTTATGGCCCTTCATTAATATTCAGGGAAAGTGCTCAGGAGTTGAAGTGAGAAGACTGCTTCATTCAAACTGAGCTGCAGTCCATCTCAAACTCACCCCAGGACACCGTCCCCTCTGTGAGATATCCCTTGAAGGGTAGACATCTGCTCCAGATGTCACAGAAGAACATCTTCCATGCCTCTGGCAGCTTAGCAAACATTCTGAGCTTATATAAGTCTGGAGTTTCTAAGAAACTGTATAAGGACTCTGTAGATGAAGGTATACTGGGAAATAGTCTGCACCATCATCATACGCTGCTGTCGCAGCAACTTCAGAACAGTAGGGACGTCCAGCATCTAGAGAAGCAAAAATGGGTTAAACTTTCAGCATAATCTTCTATTTATCACTCGTCAATCGGCTGTACAAGGGAATTCCAACTTTTTTACCTTTGAATTTCTGCATATTTAATGTTAAGATGTAAACAATGTCATTTGGATACAAGTGGTTGATGTGAAATGGGCTATTCTAGTTCACAGTGGTAGTGATAACCAGATGTCTGAAGTGTTTAAAGCCTTTAAAAGCTCACAGAAAGCTATGTCATGAAATCGTTACCAATATGTCGCCTTACGCGTGAAAACTGTGCTATAATAGTTTTGAGAAAACATTTTAGCCTGAAAGGTATTTCATAAAATATATTCATGGCAGAGAGGCATAGATAGTGCATATATTGTTTCCCATTTCAGATTTACCTCTATTTTACCATTATCAACATTCTATTTAAAAACTCAGAAGACACATGTAAAGTCATATGCAAAAGTTGCAAGACATTCTCAGTCAAATTAAATGTTTTGTTGATTTTGTAAGTGAAAATAAGTTACTCTTATCTTCTACAAAGAAGTTAAATATGGCATTTTCTGCTAATTGAAGTGCATAATTTCCATTTGCTAAATTTAATATACTGGGGGGAAAAAACAGATAAAATGTGCCATAATATTTTATGTTACATTTTAAGTTTTATTTTACAATATTTCTATACATATTAAACGCAACAAATAAACAATAATTCTGCATTAAACTGTGCAGAAGGTGTGTTCTCTGTAGAGGGTGTGTTAACTTCACTTAGAAAATCAACAAAACACAGAACTTGACTAGGGAGCCCAAACTTTCGCACATGACTATAGGTTCACTGGTGGTTTTGGATAGTAAATCAAATGGCTATATTTGCACTGTAGACATGTAGAGATCTTTGTCAAAATCAGTAAGATTTTCTGCAATAAACCATTTCACATCAAACTACTCTGAACGACTGTTTACATCTCAACAACTGAATTACACAGAATAATTTTAAAAACTGAGTGGTATTCCCCTTTTACTACTGGCAATAGAAATAAAACATTAAAACAACATAATTACCCAAAAAACAAACATACAAAGAAACGACATAAACACACACACACACACACACACACACACACATGCACAAAAGCCACCCACACAAAGTGCAGTCACTTGGTCTTGAGAAAGTGACAATAGGACCTTTCCAGTGTTCATGCCAAATTAAACAGTGTGTGTATGTACCTCATTATGTTCCAGACAGGCTACCATGATCTCACTCAGAATGACCACACCAGTGCGCCCCACCCCTGCACTGCAGTGCACCAGCACGGGTGGGTTTGTGTTCTTTGGATCGCTGGTGCTGTTGGTGTGCCGCCTCACGGACTGAATCTCTTCCAAGTATGCTAGGACACAGAGTTAGAACAGTTAACTGAGCCAATTCTGCACCAGCCCGAAACCAACAAGGTTTATGAGGCAGAACAGTCCTATTCAGTCAATATTCAGTACAAATGGAAACAAAACCCCATATATATGTATATATACACACACATACATTTGTACATCCCAGCAGTATTTGCTGAAAATATATTTGCTATCTGCAAAGTACATCCTTGGAAAAAAAAACTTAAATGATGTGTCTTAAATGCTATTTATTTTATAGAAACAGGCAATGTCACTATATGATATCAATATTTTATTACAGTATTGTTATAAAACACACACACACACACACACACACACACACACACACACACACACACACAGGGTAGGGCCTCCCATTTGCTCTCAAAACAGCTTCAATTTTTTGTTGCATGGATTCCACAAGACGTAAAAACATTCCTTTGAAATTCTGGTTTATGTTAACTTGATTGCCCCTTCTACCACACGCCAAAGGTGTTTTAGTGGATTCAGATTCGGTGATGGGGAAAACCAATGAAGAACACTGAACTCATTGTCATGTCCATGAAAGCAGTTTGAACTACTTTTGCTTTGTGACATTGTTCATTACCATGCTGGAATTAACCATCAGACAATGGTAAATTGTGAAATGCACGTGGTGAGCAACAATACTTAAATTGGCTGTGGCATTCAAGTGATGTTGGGCCTGTGAACATCCAATCATGTGCCAAGAAAACATTCCCCACACCGTTACACCACCTCCACCAGCCTGGGCTGGTGACAAGGTAGGTGGGGTCCATGGATTCATGCTGTCGCCACCAAATTCTGACCCTACTATCTGTGTGCATCAACAGAAATCGAGATTCATCAGAGCAAGTTACGTTTTTCCAGTCTTCAACTGTCCAGTTTTGGTGAGCCTGTGCCCACTGCAGCCTCAGGTTTTTGTTCTTGGCTGACAGAAGTGGAACTCAAAGTGGTCTTCTGCTGTTGTACCCCAACCGCGTAGTGGTTCACCGTGCTGTGCTTTCTGAGACGCTTTTCTGCTCACCACATCTGTAGAGTGGTTATCTGAGTTAGCGTAGCCTTTCTGTCAGCTTGGACGAGTCTGGCCATTCTGCATGGACATCTCTCATCAATGAGGCGTTTTCATCTGCATAACTGCTGCTGACTGGATGTTTTGTTTGTATGCAAACCAGCCTGTCTGACGCCAACAATCATGCCATGTCAAAATCACTAAGAAGACATTTTTCCTCAATTCTGATGGTTCATGTGACCATCACTTGAAGCTGCTGGCCTGTACTGTGTTACACACACACACACACACACACACACACACACACACACACACACACACACACATTTCTTTCCCCTGAGCACATCGTGGATAGTGTCATATATATTGTAATAATGGATATTGTCAGTATTTAAAGAACACTAAACTGCATGTCTCATTACAAAGAGAGCAAATTGAAGCCTGCTTACTTGTATTTAGAGCAGTGCAATATGAGAAACATTGAATTAAGAACAAAACTGCAGAATAGAACGGAATATGATAATTCTAAATATGGCACGGCTGGTCCCTTTTTTTTTTGTTCCAACTACTCAAACCTCAAACACTAAATATCCTGATGCATATCATGTACTGCCACGTCACCCACCCCAAATATTTTATTTAATGAACCTAACATTTAAAATAAATTTAGCTGCTCCAAAAGACAGTCCATTTTAGGCGTTTAACTTACAAAGAAATCCTTTGAAGTCCTCGGGACAGCCATGATCAGGCCAGTCTGTGTACTGCAAGTGCCAGACGGTTCGTTCCTGGCCTGTCAAAAGATGTTTAATCTTCAGGCCTGTGGTGGCGTAGCAGCCTGAGTCTGTGCGGAAGCGTGTGGTGATTTTAAAACGGCCATACGTGACCGTGTTGTGACGGGAGCCTAGACGCGGCCAGTAGCGGAAGCTCTTTTCTCGACCACCCTCCTGTGGGTGAAGGGCAGACAAGAAAGTTTGAATGGCAAGAAGTCAATAGGGAAAGAGAAAGTATAACTGGAAAAACATGTCGGACGGATACATAAGATCTTACAAGGAAGTTATTTGCTCAGAGTTACATCACAAATATGTCTAAAATACACACCTCTTCAGCAGTAACCATAGCAATAATGGCAACTCCTTGCTCCCAAACCATCTGCCAGAAGTCCGGGCATGTGCTGGAGAGGGGTCCCTGGGATGCAACATAGCTCCATTCCTCTCCCCCTACTGTAATCTAGTAAAGATAGCAATACAAAACACTAAAAACAATGACCAATACTGCACAGCAGTATCTGGGTGACGGTTGATTCATTGAAGGTGAGAACACCACAGAGGATTACAAGTGGATGATGCACTAGGAAAAGGAACTGCTGCTAGAATTACATTTGGATAAAAAAAAAATGGAAGACAGTTAAAATATGGCTACAGGAAATGTGCAATCACATCAACCAAAGTTCTGCTACATGATAAAAACTTGGTGTTTATGTGTGCCTACTTTGATATGTGAGGCGTTGATATAGCCTGTGTTATTTTCTTTAGTCGGCACAAGCTCCACGCGGGTGTCATCATAGGGCAGCACATCCTGGAAGCGATTCCGTTCTGCGTTTTCAGGTAGCTGCGCAATGCTGCACTCATAGTTGGGCAGTTTCTTTGGCACTTGTTCATACTCTGTAAATACCATGCCTTGCTCCAACTTCTGCTCCAGGAGCTTACACTGAAACACACAAATACCAACACAGAACTACTATGAATTTTGACCATAAAATAAGTAGGATTATGTGTTTTTCACAAAGAGAATTAAAATTCCTTGAGGTAATGAATACACTGTGTGTTACATCTGGGTGATATAAATATACACTATAAATAAAAATCTACATTTTCAGGACCTTATTTTACCTTAAACACCTTTCTTTTCACTCATGTATTAATTTCTGATAATAAATGATACTATCATAATTCTCTTGGCTGTCCCACTGGTTTTGTGCTGTAGTAAGTGAACAGCTAGACTTTTCTATCTGCTGAGTTGAGTAAAAGCTGTTCAGCGACTCTTAGTGTACCACACTAGCAATTGGGAGGAATCAAGCCTTTGCTGCCAATACCGGACTGAGGAACAGAACAGCATTATTATTTCATCCAACACACCCCAAATGTGCATTATCCATATTCACAAACGTGTTTCATTTTCACAACTGTTATTGTTTCAACACCCAGTCTACTATGAGGTACACCATGTTAAACAAAAAATCTAAATGATACATGGAAACTTTCAACAACAATTTAACTGCTCCCAGATATATTTTTGGGTGTCTGGCAACTTTCACATACATGAAGACAAACACAACAGGAGTCAATGGTTCTAGTCTCCTACCCTTTCGTCATTGGAAGCCTTTCCTGAATCGTCCTTGCCCTCATCCGGCACAGGCATTCGAGCAAGCGTTAGTCCATTGAGAGCCGCCAGCTTCAGCGGTCCCATCTTCTTTATATCTGATCGGACTCCTTTCTTCATGCCCTGTGTGAGGGTGGTGGGAGTGAGTGGGTGAAGTTCAGAGCAAGTATTTGCTCTAGCATACAAGAGAGGATACTGCAGTGAACAGAATCTTTCAGGGCTATGCGGAACGCAGCCGGTTGTGTCTGCTAACTTGTTTGGCGGCATTCTTCATGTCATAGGTACAGAGTTTGCTGGCCAGCCCCTCCCAGAGCCAGAAACAACCTGGTATTCTGCATTCATTAACAGATAAAAACATTTCAACTGCATGTGATGTCTCTGCTACAACAGGCCATCACACCTGCCATGTACAATATTGTTAGTTTTTTTGTTAGTTACTGAAAAACAATATTACACAGTCCTCAAGTAGTTTTGGGACACCTCTATCAACATTTGTTCTATTATAATTTTTTTTTTATTTAATTTTGCATGTATTATGGAAACTGTGCTTTAACATGTTCTAAAGTACATAATTTCAGTTAGATAGTAAGTTCAATCAATATTTTGCCTGAAATGAACAACAGAAAACTACAAAACTTTTAGGTAACTGCTCATTTTACTTATAAAGAAAAAAAAAGTGTTGGGACACTAATCCAAAGGCACACTTCATCTCCAATGCTACTCCAGGAAAGTCACCATCCAACACATCTTAAAAATATCATTATCATTCCAAAGGATATTGCTTTAGAAAACATGAATATTGAGTTGAACTACTTTGTCAAAAAATGCTGTCTCTTGGTAACAAAATGTCTGTGAGAAAGATTGCAGCTACATTGAAAATTCCAAAATCAAATGTGAAAAATGTACTAAAGTCATGAAAGAGACAAGAAGTGTCCAAAACCTGCCAAAGCTACAGCCATCTAAAAGAGAAAGTAAAACAAGTCTGACTGATCATCAGTAGTGCAACACACACCCAGAAGACTTCAAGCTGTCATCCAAAAGAAGGAATATGCAACAAAACATTTGAGTACTTTTACTTGCCTTATTTATGTTTTCAATTAATTACTGTGATCATTTTTATTTTCAGTCTGGAAACCTGGGCATTATTGCTGTTTTTTTTACAACTTCGCTGATAGATAAATTCAGGGAGAGTTCCAAGACTACAAGACTACACTATTTTGACGATTGGCCACTGTAGAAAACATCAATAGAAAATACAGCTGCAAGCGGCAATCCGCGGGTTCAAGCACATATCAGCACAATGAGCCCTTAAGCAGACTGAACCAATGATGCCTAACAAGGCCTAATGCAGTTTGGGTCTTATTTAACAGAGAGAGGATGAAAAATCCAAGGAAGTCAAAGTTTATCAAAAGGCCCTAATTTGCCATAATTGTTGAACTGTGGTCTTTCAAGATGATAGATGCTTAATTGCCTATGTATTATAATGTATTGATACACTGAGTGGTTTCATTCCCCAAGTTTAACCCTTTGATATACATGCCATATTGAGGCCAGTGCTCCCATAAGGGGTCTTCTTGGCATAAAGAAGCTAAGTGAAAGTGAGTCAGAATTTGATAAAAAGTCTCTGTAATGTCATGATTATTGATCAGGAGCTTTCAACAAAGAGGTTTATACAGATTGACCTTCTGACCTTTGTATACTAAGCTGTAGTCTTTGTATTAATTAGTCAAAACAACAGACAAAGAGTCCAATTACAAAGTTATTCAGGCCACAGAACCGAATGGCATGAACTGTTTATCTGTAGACTGCATAATACCATTGTAATAGGACTTTTAATCATTTTAAAGTGCTCCACTCAAGGGCAATCTGGACAAAGATTTGCATACCTCAGTAGAGTCTGAATTTATGTGTGTTTAAAACTTTTAAAACTCCTGATGAGTTATAGCAATTTAAGTTAGAAATGTCATGGCAGTAATGATTAACTGAGAGAGACTATGATGAGTTTAAAATAACTATTTACCTAGAGAGGCCACAGAGTATTTCAAGACTAATTCTGAACAGCTGGGATCAAAACCCAGAGATTAGTTCAAGAAGTGCAATTTTCAAAGAGTCAACGATTGCAACACAATGCATTTTTTTGATAGACTTACAATTGCAAGGTTGTTTGGAACACTGTAGTGCGTGGTGTAATATCAGTTGTCACCTAAGTGAAAATATTTGTAAGATATGCTTGTTTTTATGAATAGCACCCCCTAGTAGCCAAATCTTTCAAAACTTCACTGGTTTTTAGAAAATGCCTTCAAAGACTCCCTACCCAAATTTCACGGTGATTGGTCAATGTTAAGTCTGTCAAATGTCAGCTGAAAGCTAAGTGGCTGATGGTGTCCAAAAATTTGACTGTATCAAATGAAATTTACTTATAGTCTGTCTCAGAGAAGATGCCTGCAAATTTTCAGCTTGATCTGGTGAACGGATGCTGAGAAACAGTTATTTAGCAATTACAGCACCCCCTAATGATGTATGTGCCAAATTCATAGGCCACCTCAGAATCCACTCCTGAATAACTGCGTCGTGTCAAATTTTTTGAATGAAGCATTCCTCAGTTATAGAATTTTAAATTAATTATGAACGATTACAGAAGGGTTCATTAGCATATGGCAGCCATACTGCTCAGAAACGTCAAGATGTTCTTGATGATTATTGAGGTTCAGGGCCTTTTTTTTTATACCAGTTACATGGTGATTGAGCAAAAAGCCTTGGACAATCATGCAAATATGCAAAAAATTTAAGTAGGTGGAGCTAAATGGTCCAAACTGTAAATCAGTTTGTCATGAGGCAGGGAATCAGGAAAAAATGAATTTTGTATCTAAAAATTTGCTTTAGAAGTTATGAGGCACAATGCGTTTGGCTGTGCTATAGCGCCCCCCCCTTTGGCCAATCGGGGTAATGTTCGGTGCCTGGGTAGATGCACACAAACTACCCACCAAGTTTGGTGTCCGTACAACTTACGGTCTCTTCTCCAGAACCCTAAATTTATAAGGTCATGGAGGAGACAGAGTGCAGTTTATCATCTTATCAGCATATGTGAACCTACTGACTGTAGTATGTTCACAAAACAACATAATGTATCTATGAAACAGTCTGGTATAGTTATATGAAACACAAGGTGGCATTATACTTCATATCACAAAAGTATTAAAGGAAAGCAAACTACTACCAAACATGCAGTCAGAAATATACTTAAAAAAGACTCTCAGCACTGCTAGAAGCCTGCTTTGTACAATCTGGATCAATCCCAGTCAGGGGTAAGTCTCTGAACAAGCAATGTGGTGATTATAAACTCTGTTCAGCAACTAGTGCACACGTCACCGAACAAACTAAAACCACAGCAATGCTTTGGCCAAAAAGACATCATTGTGCTTTCAAAAGTCATATCCGTTTAAAGTATACTGCCATCTTAAGAGCTGCACTGGCACCTCAGAAACAAGTTTTTAATACACCACATGGCCTGCTTTGTTCTTCTTTTTTTCCTAAACACCCAGTGTATTGGGAATTTTGAATGCACCAGAGAACTTACAGGTGGTGGGAGGCCATCAATGTTCCGTCTCGTAGCAGGCACATCAGACACTGGTCTCTTTTTGATGATCTGACCCTTATGCTTTGATCGTCCTTGACTGCTCAGGTCACCCTCTGAAACTGAAGGCATGATTGGGCCAGCTTCAGTAAGTGGGTACAGAGGCCCCACCTCGTCCTGCTCCCGGATCCGAGGTTGGGGTTGAAAGCTCAAAGGGCCAGTGAGGACTGGATCCAAGCTTGAGGTGAAGGGATATGCAGGTGGAGGTGGCTCCATCAGAGGATGTCCTAGAACAGTCATGTGTTGCTCTGAACCAGCAACTGCGTCCTGAGACTGCGGGGTGTGCCGGCCGCTGTCGTCCTCAAACTCCTCTTCTTCTCCGCTACTGTGGACCAGCATGGTGGCATCAGACAGAGATTTTTTGTGCCCGTAGCATACGTCTTCCTTTATGATTGCATCTTCAGCCTTGGTCCTTTCCAGGAAGACATTGAGATCAGAGCCTGAGGCTGCAGAGGTGATGGGAGTAGTGCCTGGGGGTGAAGTCTCCGCAGCGGAGACGGACACTGCCCTCTCCTTCAGCCTCATGTTCTCCAGGCCATATGCCAGGCCAGCAATCTCGATAGAGTTGCGCTTCTGCATGCGAGTGTGACGGGTGGTGATCAGTGGCTCGCTCACTTCTTGCAGTGAGTGAGCAACCGGCAGGCTGTCCTCTTGGAAGGTCTGCACCGAGTGGTGCACTCGTCGAGTGATTAAATCCGGGTTGCTGCTGCTTACATAAAGGTGGCGGGAGAGGTCTGGGGTGCTGTTGGCCGGCCGGGGGTGAGAGTAAGGATAAGGAGGAGGTGGCCGGTACACCTGAGTCCTCATGATGTTGGGGGCAGGGTATTCTTGGGCCTGTTGCAGCTGTACATTGGTCAGCTCAGGCACACTGACGGCACCCACCACGGGCCGTCTTTCAGTGGGATAGGGGTAGGGTGAAGGACTGTGGAAGCTGTAGTTGAGATGATACTGGGTCGTGCCATGTTCACGGATTTCAGGCTGGCTGTAGACCAGCGGATCAGGCCGGCTGTAGGCATAGGAGTTGCCAATGTTGAGGTTCCTCATGGAGTGACTCTGCCGCTCTGCTGCTGGCATCATGCCTGCATTCTTCTGACGCATAACTGTCTCGTAGTCGGGCGTGGGACGGTAGGACGGTGGAATAAGGACACTGTGACGATGAGAGGGCACGTAATCAGCCCGCATGACATCACTGCCTGTGATGCTGGGGTTGGAGGACATGGGTGACGGCTGCAGGTAGTGCTGTGGGTTGTTGAGGGAGCTGGTGCTGTGAGCGCTGTACACGCTGCCATTCCGGATTCTTCCGTTGTACTCGTGCGGGGAACGGTCCAGACTCGTCTGAGAATGGTAGTAGTACCCATTCTGACTGTTCATGTAAAGGTTGTCTGTATAAGCAGAAACAGGCAGGTTTACAACTTACAAAAAAGTCCCCAAGCAAGCATAAAGCATTCACCATATAAATATAGTGAATAACAGGGAGACTAAACGTTTGTTTTTTACCTTGAGAGGATGTATAAGGCTCAGTGTAATGGCCATTGTAGTGTAACTGAGGTGGTGGCATCATGTAGGCCTGAGGCTTGGGCTGCAGCAAAAACAAGAGGACCGCTGTTCAGCTTCTAAATTTACCATATGTTCAAAGACAAATCACATGAATATAACAAGAAGAGCAGCTGTTTCCATGGCAAGATCCAGTAAAGTGAATAACACACCAAGCATCAAAAAGCAGTCTAGGCAGTGAATTATTTAGAACGTGCCTACCAGAGACATTCTTGTGGAGGAGCGCTGTCTGACTGGGTTCACAGGGGCAGGTTGAGTTTGGCTGTCCCAAAATGTGAGAGTGAAACAAACCAGAGTGCAGGCCTTCAGCTGTAACCCTCTGCGACAGCTGAGGGAACAGCAGGGTGTTTCCAGAATCAGCTCAGAAATAGTACGTCTACAGTAGAGTTTGAAACCCTATACTAGAACAGACTAACTAAATTCACTTTAAAACAAAACTTTGTTGTAGAACAGATGAAACAGAAAGGCAAAGCCTAATCAGTGGAATGAAATCATGTCTATCAGGCATTTTGGGCATATTTTCTTGTAATTTGTACTTGAAATAGGTCTATTACAATTATTACATAATTGCCTGATTGCAATTATTTGAGCATATCACAATTATTTTGCACAGCTGTTAGCTTTCACAGTCGAGGGAAACACATGTAAATGGAAGACTGGTGCTGTAACACATTTAGAGGGCAGCAGTGAGTAGGGCTGCATGATAAAACACATTTTTATTGTTACTGTGATATAAGTTTCCACGATAAACACATTAAGAGCTGTGATGACAGAACAGATCAAATGACCTCAAACACGCAGCATAAGAAAGATATCATTACGCCACAAACTGTTAAAAGCCTAATGAGTGTTTCTCAGTGCTGGGACAGAAGCCCGCTCTCCCACATGGGGGAAGAGCAACTTTACCATTACGCTAAATGGCCAATTAAAAAAAAAAAAATACACGTGCACATCTCAAAACCATTAAATTATAAGCCTGTAAAAAGGCATCAAACATTAGGATTGTTTTCCAACTCAGTATTGTGTTTTAACTGCCTGGGCAGTAATAACTACTGTCACAAAAAATATAATGAATAACTAAAAATAAATAAATAAATAAATAGTTTATTTGTTCTTGTGTGCCTATATAAAAATATGTATTTTTTGTTGTAGCCTCTGTAGAAAAAGCTGCTGAGGGAATGCAGCCTTTCGGTGCACAAAACGTGCTTGCAGTTAAGTAGCTAGTTAGTATTTCCTTTTTTTTTGCATAATAATCAATGATGCTTTAACAGTTTTGTATTATTTGTGCTTAAAGGAGAGATGTTAGATTTCTGTTTACACACCAAAAAAAATGTCTGTACCTGCGTCATATCCAGCAGAGACACACTACTTTAATAATATCACCTCACTTTGTCATTGTCATATCCAACAGCTTTACCAAACAGCTTTATAGAACATTGCATTTTTCCTTATCCTACAGCCCTAGTAGTGAGTAATGTTTATTAATTTGAGATTGAGCTGTTACTGTCGTCAGTTGAGAGCTACTAACTCGAAAGCTAGGTAGGAAAATAGCTAATCAGCCAATCTGGCCAATTTATGTTTGCACTGTACTAGCGGCATTAAATGAACAAAAAGATCATAAAACTGTTAATCACAATGTTTATACATCAATTAAACTTCAGCTAAAATTTCATTATTGAGACAACCCTAACCTATAAAAATAATTCTCTCTTAAAACAGTTTCCTTTCCCACAGTTGCAGTTTCTCTCTACCAGGATATTACTCATCTGATTGGGCAGCAGACATTTCCAGATTTACACATAACAAAAAGAGGGGATGAAATGTCTACCAATGTTTTCAGCATCTGTGCTACTGGGAGGCTTTGAGCGGAAAGCGTTGGTGACTGCCGAAGCAGTCTTGCTCACCCCTTGTTAGAAGGCAGAGAGGGACGAGAGAGCATTGGAAAGCGAGGAAATGAAAGAGTGAGAATGGACTTCTGGGAGCCCTCAGAAGGCGGGGCATCAGATTCCTCTCTGGGGACAGGAAAGGTACAGGGATGAAGCCTCCAAGAGTGACACACACCCATACACACACACACACACACACACACACACTCCAACCCCCACACAGTCAACCTGACTAATGGGATTGACTGAAATCCACACTTACAGACTACTCTTGTTAATCTTGTAAAACTTGTGCCGTGCCAGGCACATTCTGCACACATATTTGGAAGTCTCCATGTCCTCCTAAAAGAGACAGGGAACATGTTAACCAAAACAATCAAGAATTACAAGCATGCACAAGGACTTATTGTACTGAGCTGAGAACAGCAGTCTATGTGTCTTAAATACGGAAGCATCAATACCATTTTTGTTCCCCCAGACTGAGCACAAGTTTGAGAACATATTCCTTAGTACTCACTGACACCGAGTCCGATACCATACTGAGTAATCTACCTACAATTAAGCAGTAGTTAGTGTGAACGTGTGCAACCTTAACAGTTAAATCATTAAACCTTGCTGATCTTAACTGAAGTGCCTATGCTACATTATTCAGCGCTAACTAGGACTGAGTAGCGCTGCAGTGGAGAAGACCAGGTTCTGTTCCACATCAGAAAAGCACCTCTGTACAGATGTAGTTTTGATCCTCATCTGTGTCTCTCTACAACAATCTCTGTAGCTCAGTGACAGCATCTGAGGAGCTCACTTGTGGAGTTTTGTCTTTTCGGGGTCTTTGCTGGTTGAGCTGTAGCTGAATGTCCTCTACAGTCAGACATATACCGTGTGATTTTAGATAGACCATCATGTACAAACGAAGCCTTCGATTTATATACTCACACTGTACAAAAACGTACAGACATCTCTGTCCATGAACAATATCAAATTAAGTCATTTCATCTAAAATAACATGAGTACCGATCAAACAAACTGAGAACGGATCAGTGCGGAAGCTAAAAGCAGGTGGTGACATACACGGTAGGACAACATGGTCTCTCTACAGCCTATTTTACAGGAAAAAAAAATTAGCTTTCATACCTTGTTATTCTATTCAGATAAACAGAGTAAAGTCGGCACAGACGAACTTTGGTAGCAAATGTCGACTTTTTTCCAACTAGGTTTCACTAGCGTATGCATCTCCACCTGCAAAGGGGAAGGGGCTGTGATTGTGTGTTTAAAATGGTTTTAAATTACACAGTGAAGGTCTAGTGGGAATACACCAAGGCAGAAAGTTTAAAGTGACCAACGACTTTGTGCCTGACTGTCACAGAGTCACTCTTCTCTGTGTGAGCACAGCCTCCTTCACTGTGTTTGTTCATTAGCGTGGCAGTGTACACTCGGCTTACGTCACACAGTATCAGCTGATATCGGAATGTTGGTATCAGTGCATTTTTATGAGTAAAAGTAATTGAGCATAGTATCGGCCCAATACCTGATACCTGTATCAGTACTGATGCAACCCTACCTTTAAGGTCTAGTTTATGTACATGTAGACATGTTATATGCACACAGACACATTTATTTTTTGTTAAATACGCTGGCATAAGTGCATAGCTGGAAGGACTAACTGTGGGCTTTGTGCTACTGCAAGTTAAAAAAAAAAAAATCTGAAATGTCTGGGATAATGAATGGAGGTACTAGGGAGATTACAGAACTTACAGTCTGAAACTGAATGGTGTCCTCTTTGTTGGCCAGCTCCAGGGCAAAGAAAGACTTATTATGAGTCATGTTATTAATGTCATTCCACCTTAATGGGAAAGAAGTCAAACAATGCAGTCAAGGTTACATGAATGCGCCCAAATTCCTCCAAAGAAAACATATGCATGCAAATGACAATTGAATGCATTAGTTTGTATCCAACACACAAATACATACCGGAACAAAAGAGGTGGCCGGCCATTTTTGTGCTTGACAAATATTCCATCCAGACAGGATCCAATGATTATATCTGCACCCTGGCTGTCCTACAAAACATAGGAAAATTCTTATATAATTAAATATGTTCATACCAGCAAAAAATGTAAATTATAATTATTCACAACGATGGAACATAATACATAACAGAGATGGACCCATCATGAATATCTATGGCTGATGTGCATGGTGTTTATGGCTGATTCTTTCTTTCATTTATTTATTTATTTATTTACTCATTTTTTCACTCAAAGCTCACACTGCGTGGGCTAAGTGAACTAGCACTTGTACTTTTTATTAGACAAAGCTATAACATTAACATTTTGCCAATTGTAATGGGTAAAACGGGCATTTTAAATTCTCAAAAAGGAAATAAATTGCATACCTAAATAAAAGCAAATAAAGTGATATAACGAAAATAACTGGCTATTTAGCTAAATGAATCATGCACAATTGTGCTATGACACGAATGTGGGTTGGCCAAAATAATAAATTTGCTGAGTGCAGACTGCTTGTTTGAAGAAGAAGAAAACATTTTGATGATCTTGGACAAACACGATCATGTACACCAACACAAAACTTTATTTCAAAAGCTTTCATATTAAAATAAGCATTATGCTTTCTGTGCAGCTTGTCTGAAGTTTAACAAGTCAAACAAGATCAAAACAGCTGTCTACCTTTGCATGAAAGCTTTCTTGACCATAACCCTCCATCTTCTCCACTTCTTGCATGTACAGCATTTCTGCTTCTGGGACTGGAAGACCTCTGTGGATAAGGGTGGGGTTGGAACACGCAAACACAGACACTGATGTTACAACAAATAGGCTGCTTCTCATTCAACCCGCATTATCACTGTAACCTGTACAATTTTCCATCATGCTATTGAACACTGCTTTGAAACCATTTTAGAGCATCACAAAACATGAGATGAGACCAAAGAAAAGACAGTATACAAGTCAGTACAAATGCAATAGGATAAAAAAGCAATAACATAACATTCTTGAGTATAAGTGGGCTTGCTTTTCATCTGTCTGGCTGAAAATCAAAGTCTTACACTCAGCAGATGGTTCTAAAGTGCAACTGTTAACAGGTGCCAGATGACTGCATTAGAAAGCCTCCTTACAGATGTAAAGGGGAAGAATGTGCAATGTCTGTTCTGACCTTTTGAAAGCCAAAAAACAAATAAAATATTAAACTCATGCAGAATGCTGAGGATGCTCTCACCGGTAACTTTGATAAAGTAGGGCAACCTTTTGAGTCGCTTCTTCAACAACTCGCTCATCTTGAATCCACTCCTAGAGGGAAGGGAGGGAGGGAAGAAGGGAGGGAGAGAGGGAGGCAGATTTACTGAATATCTTTAAGCTACTGACAACTGGGTAACAATGAATAGCTTAAAATTGAACAAAAAACACCTGTTATAGAGAAAAACAAACTTACAATTGGAAAAAGCACAAATTTCTGAAGAAATTCCTGTGAATCATAGCGGGTGAAGTCTCCAAAGTCAGCTAGAGCCAGGAAAGAAAAGAATACCACTTGATCAAAATCTACTTTGTGTCCAAGTATCTACAAATGAAGGTGCAGGGCTACATTAATCTTAATTGTAAACTCAAAGGGCATTTTTGCAGAGACGTTTTAGCACCGTGTCACAAGGGCATTTTTTTGACGAGCCAATGAAATATTATGTTGTGGAAAAAAACAAATTTAGCTTTTGTAACCATAGCAGTCCAACATTACCAGCAATTCCAGTCATCCTGTTAGAAATGTGCTCAAGCTATGCTGACAATCCAAAGTATTAGCACAGCTATAAGTTTCTATGCACGGCACTGCTAATACACAAAAATAGCCTGTGTTAAACACCTGATCTATCTGACCCAAATCACACTAAAGCAAAGGACACTTTCACTGTGCAAACAGTGGCCAATGTGTAAGCGTGTCGGTGTAACAGTGGCATTCTTTCCCCCTGTGTGCGATGTACAGGGGGAAGCAGTTTAGGCCTGGCTGGAACAGCAAGTGATGTCAGTTTCTCTGCTATGTTAACACCAGGCCAGTAACTTGTGCTGCCAGATATATCTTTGCCAGCAGTGTTTGAGATTCTTCTCCTGGGCAAAAACCGGAGCCGGAAATGTCAAGCCTGCAAGCCTAGCTAGCTCTGTGCACCTAATAGGGTTCCAATTTGATTAACTTAATAATCCATGTCCTAATAAACATGTGCACACTTAAGATGCAGTTTAGAGTTTGTATGTGACCTAAATCAAACCTTCCATCAACAACCATAAGCATGGCAGTGCATCAACAATCTGAGAGTAAATAGGGATGCACAATGATATTGAAATCACATTGGTATCGGTAGATGTTTGCAAATAAATAAATAAATAAATAAATAAATATCAATAAATATCAATAAAAATAAATATTGGCTTCAGACAGCTGTCTAGATTTGATCAATATTTTGAATCGATATTTGATGATTTCCTTATTGTACTTTGAAGAGCAGTATGTTTAGGTGATGTTGGACTACTGTGCTAAAATGTCTGTATATATAAATGTTAGATTTTTCTGCAATAATAATCCAAGTGGATTTTCTCACAATTTCTACATTTCATAAATATTTATGTATCAGCAGGCCGAAAATATCGGATATCAACATCGGCTTGGGCCACAACTCTCATACTGATGCATCTCTACTAAAAAGTATAAACCTATAATCAGGATACCTTGTACTGCCAAGCCGGCCAAACGGACTGCCTGCTCAATCGAGCATGGAATCCTACCCTCCAGAACATCTTTCTTCAGCTGGAGGTAATACTGGTATCTGTTGGAGAGGAGATTAACATACGGTTATCATTAAACATTATTAAATTGTTATATTCTGTTATTCAACATCACAATGGTCAAATGATGTTGGACTACAGCACGGCTGAACTATGTCAGAGATCAAACTATTTCTAGCATATTATTACCTGGTTATCTCTTGTTGTAACTGGGAAACAGCCGGCACATAGAACACGACACCAAAGTATACAGTGGGCTCCTGTCCATATTTGTCAAGCTGTTTCTTTAGTGGCTTTTCTAAATCGATCCATCTCTGTTGGTTTTGTTTGTTGAAATACCAGAGGCTGAAATAAGTTATCTGCAGAATGATCAGAATGTCAGTAAGGCTTGCATGGTAAAGCAGGACACTGCAATATTGTTTTGGAAAAAGCAGAGTAGGGAATACTTAACAGTCACTTTCCACATATATGTTACTTATGAGGGCTTGTATTCAGAAAACATTTCACACCTATCCATTTTACAGGAGCACATTCCACAATAATACATTTGCTTTCATCATCTGGAATGCAGAGTAAGGAAACAAGACTGATGGGTAGGATGCCTGGCTAGGACCTTATCTTTTCAAAACACACCATGTCGCACTGCTGAGTGTCTCGAAGCTTTCAGAGAAGAAAGCCAGTCATAAGTCTATGTAGTTGGCATGTTGCTTAGAAACAGACCCTGCCACCCTCAAAAAAAGAACTGCGTTCTTAATGACACTTGGCCATAGAAAGCGCAGAGAAACTGCCTTCTGTGTTCTTAGCACATGTGACATTCAAAAGCAAATGCTTGCAAGTTATGGAGTTTAAAAAGTCTTGGCACATGTAAGTATTTGAGGAAAATAGTCCCACCCTGTTTAGTCTAGTGACAGCCTGATAAACAGAACCTAGCAGGACCAAAAAGTCAATTAACTGATAAGGACATGTACAACTGAGAAATTAAAATGAACTTGCAGCTTTCCAGCGTAAAAAAAGACATGTGACAGTGCATTCTGCATTACCACTCTCTTGTCCAACTTTACTATACATACTATATTCTTTACTACATGCAACAAAATAGCAGCTAGAAGCAAGGTGAAAGTATGCGTGCAGACACAAACCAGGCGTCTCAGACTATGCTGGAGGAAGACCAGGCCTTAGAAAGCGATCAACACTCATAATCGACGTGCACATATTGACTACTGAGACTAGTCCAACAAGTGAAAAACATGTAGAAAACAATTACATACCTCTCGTAACTCGAGTCTCTGAGCAACTGCGTCCAGACATTCCTGGCCTGTGCTTTCCACAGAAAGTGTAAACTCAACAAATTCACCATTAAGCAGCTGTATGCGTGTGACCAGGCAGCTTTTGCTGGAGACGGTATATCTTCGTGTTCTCTTAAGTTTTAATCCAAATGGTAAGGGCATGTTTCACCAGTAGCTTGCTCCTCTCTGTTCAAAACGATTCAATCAGCTTCACTTTAACATTAAGCCATTGGCGAATGAGATTATGCCAAACTCCATAGGGCAATTACATTGATCACTGGGGAAAACAAGCAGTCAGAGCAAAACAGATTAGGAAGCTTTCTTATGGGCACACATGTTGTTCATATTTAGAGAAAAAACATCTATTTCCCATAATTTATGTCCAGAGCATATGGAATACAGAATAACTACACAAGCACAACGTGTACAAACAAAACTGTTCCCATGAAAAATAAGACTAATGTCCATACCACTTACATTACTTTGGATCTGAGTATGGGACTTCAGTGAATATTGCAGTGATTTAACAGAATATTGAAATGTGAAGTTCTGATTTTGAGCTGTTTGTCATTTCAGCACCACTGTTACTATGAACTATTCACAAATCTGAGCAGGCATCACTATGACTGTTTCAATGCTGAACTGAGAGAGACGATCTGACACCCCAAACCAAGAAAATCACATTCATATCAAACCACATTCAGTCTGGTTTAATGGCTTCATCAAAAACGACCATTGAAAAAAAAAAACTATAGTAATATGAGAAATTTCTACAGGATTTTTACAAGAATTGTATAGTACTTTTGAAAAGTTAAAGTTGCTATAGTATAGGAAATGATACTATAACACTACTGTAAACAGTACATCAGGAATATCATGTTACAGATTACAGAGTATTATAATAGTGTTACACAGCACTACAGTAAACTTACATTTTCTTGTAATAGTACTACATATTATTTGGCAAAGAAAAAAATCAGTTTAAATGGATAAAACTGTCAGCATGATTTTCAGGTTTAAACACTAATGTTGACATTCTTGCTCAATCACTGCGTTGACCGTGCAAAGCATTAAATGCTTATTAAAGTAAAGGCTACTTTACAACAGACAAACGCGAGGTAGAATAAATTCGCATCAGTCGCGTAGAAAAAATACTTGTCTTTGGCGGGGACTGCAAACAATATGAGATGTTTCACCTATTAGTCAGATAACCAGAAGCAATGCAAGAGATTAGGAAAACAAGAGAGGTGGGTATTTACAGCATGTTTATCTGCCATCGTCAACTCTCTTATGGCACGTATTTACACATAAGTTAGCTAACCTACCTAACTCAAACATTACAATTCCTGCCAGTACCAGCTGATTTCTACAACAGCATTTTGCAGTCAGCTCGTATTGTGCTTGTATACTTTTTCTCATTCCCTATTAAGTTACTTTAACCAGTCTACTAGCTAATCACTCATCAACAAGTTGTTGTCTGAAGTGACTCGGAATCACAGGAGTAGCAACCAAGTGAGCGGAGAAAGCAAAACAAACTCCTCGCACGCTGAAGCTGGCCCACGATAAATCTGACTATAAGTATAACTTAGTTTAGAAACTTTTATTTAAGACAAAGAGGCCGTGGAAGCTAAAATGGCTTGTATTTCGCTTATGTTCTCATCCAGTCAGCTATGTTAATTCTAGCCCAAGCTAATTCCGAGCTAGCCAGCATAATGGCTGGTAAATTACCGTTAAACGTTGAAGTGTGCTTGAGTTGGCTAACCGCCGCTAGCAACACAGACACTTACCATATGAACGGTCTGCCGTTGACTACCATTTAATTGACACTCGGAACCGAGTTTTAGGACGACTGAGGAGTTGCGAACGGGGTCCAAATTTAGTTGAAGTTTGTGTGAGATCACGCATGTTAGACTCCCAGGTCACACTGGCTGTTGCTTCCATACTTCATTTCCGGTTGGAGTCCAAAAATCTTCTTGGCGGATTCATCCGCGGATCTATTTTCACAGCCTGAAAGGTGATAAATACGTCGCGTTTCTTACTCAACCCGTGTCCAAATAGCGCATCTACCGCTTATATACATACATCCGTTCATATCAGCAAGGTAAATAAGGAGAGAGTGCTTGTGTTTGCTGTAAAGCAGCACTTCGGAGCGCTGTGTGTTACATCAGACAGCTGGAATGCCGCGCAGGCAGACTGGAGGCGATGGGAAGTTCGATTCAGTTTAGTGAACCGATTCTTCCGCTAGAATCACTTTAATGAATCGAACGACCGATTCAAATGATTCATTATCGCTCCAGTGCTCAGTCAAGTCACAGCGGCAGTGCACAAAACAATGTACGACACTTAAAACGCCTCATACATTTATGCCACTGAGGTTAGAAGGACAAAGAAGTTTAATCTTTTGTCCTGGTGGGCCACAGTGCTGCGGTGGGCCGATGGCCAAAACGACAAATAGCTTAGGGGACGTTAGGGGAAGGTAGGTTTCCAATCGACTTATTAGAAATGTACTTTAATACATTACTCCATATGGAAAAAGCTGATGTATGCACATATATAATAAAGGGTCATATATATTTCTAATTTCTAATGTACATATATGTTGTGTATTTGTACGTATGCGATATTAGACATATATAGGCATAATATGTGGATTATACATATATGTCTGAAACATGGTTGAATGCATCCCAGTACAGCTATAATTGTTACTATATTATCTGTTTGCTTTTTATATAGTAAATTATTTAAATGTGTCTGGGAACAATATGTGCATTTATTTAATGTTTTAATGATTTTATTGCATGGCTTACAATGTGCATGTTTTTAAAGTTTAGTTATGCAGCCATTAGACTAATTTTCACTACATTAGTAAGTATTCAGAAGAAACAAAGAAGATGAATGTCTAAATATTCTTATTTTATAAGACATACGTTTTAATTGCTGGATTTAACATATTGGGAATAAACATAGAATGTGGCCTATGCAAAAGTATTTATTGTGGTCTTTAATCCAAGGTTTACTAGATACATTGCATGCTTTGTTTTTAATGCAAGTTGAAAGCAAAATATCAAAATGAAATACAAAAGCAGCATAAATTCAATAAAAAATATCTTGTATAATACAAATCTAGCATATAAGAGTAATATAATACAATCCATAAATGAATAATGTTTTCTGTCAAATGTTATTAAATATATGTGACACATATAGGCTTGTATATATTGATAAATGACTAAAATGTATGTCACATATTTAAAAAGAGAGATTCCAAATAAGCTGGCATATATGTCACATACACCGATCAGGCATAACATTATGACCAATTCCTTGTTTCTATGCTTATTGTCCATTTTATCAGCTCCACTTACTATATAGGCGCACTTTGTAGTTCTACAGTCACAGACTGTAGTCCATCTGTTTCTTTGCATACTTTATTAGCCCCCTTTTACCCTGTTCTTCGGTGGTCAGGAAGCCCATGGACCCTCACAGAGCTGGTACTATTTGGGTGGTGGATCATTCTCAGCACTGCAGTGACACTGACGTGGTGCTGGTGTGTTAGTGTGTGTTGCGCTGGTCTGAGTGGATCAGACACAGCAGTGCTGCTGGAGTTTTTAAACTCCTCAGTGTCACTGCTGGACTGAGAATAGTCCACCAACCAAAAATATCCAGCCAACAGCATCCTGTGGGCAGTGTCCTGTGACCACTGATGAAGAACTAGAGGATGACCAACACAAACTGTGCAGCAGCAGATGAGCTATCGTCTCTGACTTTACATCTACAAGGTGGACTGACAAGGTAGGAGTGTCTAATAGAGTGGACAGTGAGTGGACACAGTGTTTAAAAACTCCAGCTGCACTGCTGTGTCTGATCCACTCGTACCAGCACAACATACACTAACACACCACCACCATGTCAGTGTCACTGCAGTGCTGAGAATAATCCGCCACCCAAATAGTACCTGTTCTGTCAGGGTGCTGACCACTGATGAACAGGGTAAAAGGGGGCTAAGAAAGTATGCAGAGAAACAGATGGACTACAGTCTTTAATTGTAGAACTACAAAGTGCACCTATATAGTAAGTGGAGCTGATAAAATGGACAATGAACGTAGAAACAAGGAGGTGGTCATAATGTTATGCCTGATCGGTGTATATGTCCATATGACCATTGGACATTAGGGAAATCCATAAATGGTAATATATGTCATATATTTAACATCCATATATTGCCAAATATCAGTTTTCCATATGAGACACTAATTTGTTGCCAAAATGCTTTAAAAAATTTAATTCAGTTTTTAAAAGGAAAATTATAATTTAGAAGTATATATTTATTATAAAATAAGTGTTTGTTTTCTCATTGGATAAGGGGGTTGGGATAGGGTAATTTCTAGTGGCCAAATCAAATGCCCTCATGGGCCAATTTTGGATAGCCCTGGTCAAGAGACTGAAAATGCATGTCATTTCAGACATAGGTTGTTCTTAACTGTGAAAGATTATTTTTCAAGCTTTATAAGTCTACCAAAATGTAAATGTAAACATTCTGTGGATGCTGCAAAAATGAGATCTAATTTAATCAGTTCCACCAGTTTACTGAACAAATCAGTTTAAAAGAACACATGGTTTAGAGATAGACATTGGGTTGGCCAATACCACTAATTTTCTTTTTCCTTTGATACCAAGTATTAACAAAAGTAATATCCTGATACCAATACTGATAGATTTAAAAAAAAAAAATTTAGACTTTTTGTGCACATAAAATGCGAATTATATATGATTTATACAGCAATAATACTAAATAAACTGCAAAATAAACTGCTAAGTGAAGTAAAATAACTTAATGGGCTGGTTTCCCTGATATGGTGTAAGCCCAGTCTTGGACTAAATTGCAGTGCCAGTGGTGAATCCAGCTTCTTGCTACCAAACTGGTTTGGGTGCCTTTACCACTGAAAAAAGCATTAAAGAGCGAATATCCTACCTTTACTTCTATTGTATATTTTCCTTGTGGTCCACTTAAGAGAATTGTGTGGTTTTATGCACCAAAAACTCATATCATAATTCATTTTTACATCACTATTTTCCAATTTCCCTTTACTCCTTAGAATTAAACAGCCAATTTTTATTACACATTTAGGACTGATATAATGTAAATGCTCTTTGTTCTGATTGGCTACCATGTACTGTGCCTCAAGAAGCAATCCAGGCTGAAACACTCTCATAACTTTAAATAAGGTCATGAAAAACGCATTTGGAGTTAATTAGAGTCTCACACTGAAAATATCCCATACGGAAAAAATATATATTCCAAATGTATTTATCAAATATATTTTTGCCTTGTATGAAAATAGCTAAAAATATATATGTTAATGTTTTAAAAATGCATTTATTTGTATTTGTTATTATTATTTTTAATCATGTAGTTTTAAAAAAGTTTACATATGGTACATTTCTATGTATAATATTTTCCCATTCATTTTAAAATAAATGTATTTGAAAATATATTTGGTTAATTGGTTAATAATATAGCAGTATATTCTGAAATACATTTTACTGTTTGGAATTTATTTCTGCATGGACAGCAATGTATTTGAAATATATTTCAAATATCTAAAAATACATGTGTATATATATTTTTTTCCATATGGGTTGAGACAAATCTAACCTTTCTTTCTTTTTTTTTTTAAATGTGTTTAAGGTTATACAGTGTTTAAGGTTTTTTCATAACCAAAGACATTCCTTAATTATTCAGTACTTTGGTCTTCCAGGTCATTTCTGGTGCCACTACTGAACAGCTGATCTTGACACATCTAAGATTTAGGCTCTGTCATCACTTTATTCTGAGTTGTCAGCCTTGTGATATCCTGCTGTCTTGGAATTGATACTTATTTGGCCTTCCGAGACAGATGCATACGTCATAGAGTCAGTTCTGAACCTCTTGTTAGCTCTCTTGTTTAAGAACAACACAATTGGCCAAGAAGCAACTGAGATGTATAATAATCGTTTCGTTTAAAATCCAGCATGTTAGAGAAGAGAACAAAACCAAAAAAAGTCATACTGTCCAAAAATGTACAGAATGCACTGTATATTGCTGAAATGTTTAGTGGAAATAAATTACTCTGTATGTCGAGCAGCTGTGGAGTGAATGTAATAATCTGTAGCAAACAAGACTCTTGCAAAAGAAACCTCTTCCCTTTGAGGTGCTTATTTAGCAGTAATGGCATTGCACCAGAGTTTTTAACCAATGTAGCAGGGAGAAATTTTGCAACAGTACCTTGAATTTGACACATAAAGGGAAATTCCACTGATTTCTCTAAATAAAGATGTAAACAAAGTCATTCAGAGTGGTTTGATGGAAAATGGTTCATTGTAGAGAAACGTACAGACTCTAAGAACCAGGGTGTCACAACTACAACTACAACTTATTAATTGTCCAAAATGATCAGTGGACCTACACATTTTCTGAGTTTTACTATGTAATGTCTAGAATGGCAAACCTGAAAAAAATACATTTACATGACTATTTTGCCTTACAACGCCCTGCATTGTTTCTTATCTCAAAACAATCATTAAACAATGTCTAGGGCATTATGCAACATATGTAAACATATTTAATGTTAGCTTCCTGTGAGGTACCTTTTAGACGCATTAAATACTTCAGATGTCTGGTTCCTATCACCACTGCTGTAAACAATTCTGACTCGATAAGATTCTCTTAAATGAAGCATTTCACATCAAATCACATCTGAATTACATCTTACCAATTTCATTATACAGAAAAATGGAAAGATAATGGTAGAATTCCTCTTTAAATAAACTAAAATCCAATATCGTGATGAAAAATATTCAGCAATCACTAAAAAACTCGTATCTTCAGTGCGACATTGTGCCTTTGGAAAGGCAACTGAATACCAACAGATGGTTCAAAACTCATCATCACTAAGTTTTACTTTAGAGTCTTGTTCAATGCCTTCTTGTGAGCCATGTGTCTCAGACACTCTCAGGGACTCAGCCATGTTTCTTCCAAGTTCATCAAGCTGTTGCATCAACTCATCGTTTTCTGTACAGTTTTGATGTTTTTCTACTTTGTTCATTCGTTGGGAGCCCAAACTTGGAGTTGGGGATACTGCATTGTTCTCTTGGTGATCAAGCTCCAAGTCCACACTGTCTCCTTGTGTAATTAGACCAGCTCGATCTGAGACACTGCAATTTACTGGTGTGGAATGTAATGAAGGAGTTACACAGAGTTCTTCAGTGTCCTTATCAAAGGGTGTGTAAGGGAGAAGACATGAATCATCTGTATTGGTTAATGTCAGATCTTGCTCCATACTTGAATACTTGTGTCTAGACAACATAGAACTGTCCCTGTCCCTCTTCTCAATAGCCATGACAGGAGCAGCAGCGGGACTTTGCAAATCATTCTGCAGAACATCCAGTAGGTGGCGCATTTTGACCTTATAATGAACGTGAATGAAGATGAACAAAATGTTACCAACCATTTAACACGATTACTGTATGGACTGTTTGCCCAAAACTGTATTGTAAAGATTTATTTATTCATTATTTGGTAGATTACTGTCAATACTGTACAAGTAGAATATTAGGATGCACCAAAAGAATACTCACCTCATCTAATCTGTGTCTATTCATATCAATATGACGCTCAAAAACACGCTCTAGCACCCTGTAACAAGAAAGAATTGTACACATTTTAAAATGTTCTATAGTCTAATTCTAAATTATGGGTTTAAAAGGGTCAAAATAAGCGCACAAAAACCTGTCAGAATAGATCCCTCGTGCTATAATCTCATTGGTTACATCAGTAATAAACTCCAGGTACATTAGTTCTTCTTCCCTATTGAAAAACAACAACAGAAATTCCACACACAGAAATTCCACACACATGGAAATATTGTTAATCACAAAACAACACTGTATATGCAACTAAGACCACTTTACATGTCAGTGGTAGTGGGATGTGCTCTTCTGTATAGCTTTAAAATCAACTGCTACTACGTGATTCACAAAAGCTAACAAAGTAGAGTCAGGATTTTCAAGTTACAGCTTGTAGCCATTCCTCACACATTTCAGTGGCACCATGATCCTGATGAAGCTTTACACATATATGTAGATATGAGAGGTTCTTACTCTGCTGTTACTTTTCTCATTATAGGGGACCTCATTCCTTCAGGTGATACTCTGCAGAACACATAATACAAACTCAATTCTAAAAAAACTGGGACAGTAGTAAAAAGTAAATAAAAACAGAGAGCAATAATCTGCAAATCCTTTTTGATCTGCATTCAATTAAAAACAGTACAAAGACAAGATTTATTTGTTTTTGTACATATTTGCTTGTTCGAAATATGATGCCTGCAACATGTTGCAAAAAAGTTGCTATGGGGCATGTTTCCCGCTGTGTTACATCACCTTTCCTTTTAACAATGTTCAATCATTTTTTGGGAACTGAAAGCACCAATTACTGTAGTTGGAAAAGTGGATTTGTTAACCACTCTTGCTTGATATAACACTTCAGCTGCTCTACAGTCTGAGGTCTCCATCATTTTATATTGCACTCCCTAATACACCACAGGTTTTCAATGAGAAACAGGTCTGGACATCAGGCAGGCCAGTCTAGCGCCTGCACCCTCTTGCTATGACGCCATGCTGTTGTAATACACACAGAATGTGGCTTCGTCTTGCTGAAACAAATCAGGACATCTAGATGGCTGCATAAGTTTCTCCAAAATGTGTTTGTTTCCCTCAGCATTACTGATACCTTCACAGATGTGCAAGTTACCCAGTAACACCCTATACAGTGACAGATGCAGACTTTTGAAGCATTGGTAACAATCAGGATGATCATTTTCCTCTATAAGCCGGAGAACATAATGTTGATTATTTCCAAAAACAATTTAAAAGATGGACTCGTCAGACCACGGGACACATTTCCATTTTACGTCAGATAAGCTTTAGCCCATAGAACTCGGCAGTATTTCTGGATGTTGTTGATATATGGATTCCACTTTGTGTAGCAGAGTCTTAATTTGCATTTGTGGATGCAATGACTGATGTTTTTTTAATGACAAGGGTCTTCTGAAGTATTCTCATTATATTCATTACAGAAGCATGTCCGTTTTTAATGCAGTGTCGTGTGAGGGATTGAAGGTCACAGCCATTATTGTTTTTTTGGTCTTGCCCTTTACGCACAGAGATTTCTCTGGATTCTCTAAATCTTTTGATGATATTCTGCACTATAGAGAGTGAAATACCTACAATCCTTGCAAATCCGTATTGGGGAACATTATTCTTAAACTGCTGATGCATTCTCGGCAAAGCAGCAAGTCTTTGCTCATAAAGGACTCCTGGATGCTCCTTATACCCAAGCATGAATGCATAACCTGTTTAGGATGTTTCACAACATTTCTAGTCTGAAATTTCTTTTGTCTCATTTTTTGGAATACGTTGCAGGACTCAAAGGTGCAACCTTGAATATCTTGTCTTTATATTGTTTTCATTTAAATAAAGGTCAAAGTGAATTTAGTAATCACTACTTTCTGTTTTTATTTACATTTTACTCTGTAAATAACATGCACAATTCATAATACAGTGTACTGCTGGTATGAAAAGGAGTGAGCATTTTACCTTGAGGAGGAAAAAAGAATATCACCGTCTCTGAACTTGTTTGCTGTGCTGTAATGTCCAAATTCATTTGTCTCTTCATCAGACCACTCATGCTCAAGGTTGTATGGCTGTTAAGAGAAAAGAACATAATTTCAGTATCCTGTAATATTGCACCGTTTTTTGCACTATTTTTTTAAATATCTGCTGATGCTAATAATGATGCCAATACATAAACATTTTTAAAAGGTAGGACTACATCCATCTGAATTAGTACGATAAGTATGTCATATCTAAGCATTTGTCCTATTCCAAATATCTGCCAATACCAATAGGATTCTGATACCATGCATCCCAATATTAAATAGCCTTTTTCATCAATATGTTGACATATTTAATCAATATTTTAATCAATATTGTCAGTAAAATGCAACATTAGGATGGTACTGAATATCTTCTCAATAACAGTCCAAACAAACTTACCTGGGGTGAGTCCTGTTCTGCTGAAGATCCTTGCTTGATGTGTGTGCTGCAGAGATAAACAACAAAGCTAAAGACCAGGATGTAACATCAGTTATTTAACTGTATTTATTATTATTTTTTATGTTATTATGTACACCTGTAAAACTATATGCATTTTAAAATTATTTTGTAAAAGAAAGTACAGTCATTACATACATGATTCAAAATATTAGTATAATTCAAAATATTAGTATAATTCCATTCTATTCCATTCTAAAAAAGTTGAAAAGTCTACTCTAAACAGGAAAAATAACATTGTACCTTCCATGGTAAGTGTCTTGTCGATGAAATTTAGAAGAGGTCTTTTCGTCTGTTCCTTTCCTACTAGCAGGAGTGTAATACCGATAAGTAGACAGGGTGGGCTTGCAATCTGATTTCAGCGTTCTGGGGGTGAATGGCTTTTCTTGAGTGAAGCAGTGAGCATGTTTAAGGAGAACATCACCACTGTAGGTTTTCTGTGTAGGATCCTGAAAGCTTTTAAACTTCTTCTGACTTGCAGATGTGGTACATGAAGGAGTGAGGTGGTGCCACCGAGAATTTGGGCTCCTGTAACTAAATTCTGATGTGGTTCGGCAGTTCTGAGAGCTTGCAGTCATTTGTGAAGCATACACGACTTGCTTACAATGGAAAGAAGTGTTGAATCTAGGCGAAGACATGGTGGAGCCCCCCAGGTCGAAATGGGCACTCTCTTCACCTCGAACAGTTGGTCTGGTCTACAGCACAGGAAAGGAGAAAAACTCAGTCCTAAGATCAAGCCTCCCCCACACAAAAACAGAATCTTTTCACTCATTTCTCCCAACAGGAATGTGAACGAACTAGAGGAAATCATCTTACATTTTTGGATGAGCAAGGTGTCACGGTATTCATCCTGAGGCTCCTCTGTGAAAGGGACCTTACTGATTGTGACCTCTCAGACATATCTTTTTTCATCTGCTCACGCCGCTTTTGGTCAATGTCTGCGTGCATAAGCAGAGGTGAAGGTTATATAAATAAAAACAATGCATGGCCACGCTATATTAACGACTTTGTAAATGATCTCATTCCCATGCCTTACTAAGCCGTAATAATTATCTTGTTCCCGTGCCTTACTAAGTTGTGGCCACGCATTATTTTTATTTATACGGGATGTCACCAGCATGGCTCTGTACCTATGCATTACTGCTATCAGGGAAAAAAGTAAGTAGGGGCTTGTACTTACATTTTATGCTGCGACACATACTTTTTGGTACTGAGCAGTCCACTGCAGCTAGATATGAAAAAAAAAAAACAGCACAAGCATCAAGGGGAAGCATTAAAAAATAAATATACAAATAGGCCAAAGGCAAAATACTTAAGAAACTGAGTTTGGGAACATTACTGATATCATCATTATTAACAACATTAATAACAATATTATGATGATGAGATTAACATGATAATGCTGGAGACTCACCTTTTGCTGAGTATATCTTTTTGTAATGGGATATCATGTGGTCTTGAATAATGTGCTGATTTGTTAGATTGCCAGTCGAGCCATGGCAGAATGCTGCAAAGGGAGTATGACAATTAACTGATGTAGCTACCTTAATACAGGGGTGCCAAATCCTGGTCCTGGAGATCCACCACCCTGGAAAGTTCAGATCCAGCACTCCTGGCTCTATTGCTCAGATGCCCCTGGAGGCCTTCATTCAATGAATTAGGTGTGTTAGAGCAGGGTTTGAGCTAAAATCTGCAGGGTGGTCTTCAGATCTCCAGAACCAGGACTGAGCACCCCTGCCTTAACACAATCCATAGAATCGAAGTAAATTAACTTTATCACATTTGTGTCATGCTGACTCGAATGTGCAGCCGAACCGACCAAAACAATCAGAAAAAAAGAGCGTGTATATTTAATATTTTTAATTCTAAACCATACTGGATTTTCCTTTGCTCAATATGATCAATATTTATGACGCAATATGAGCAATGAGGTGGGTAAAATAATTCCCTCTCATCAGATTAATCGCAGTTACAGTCGGATTACAGCGCTAGCTAGTTAGCTTGCTGGTTCAGCTGTTCTTCATCGTTAAATTACCTCGCTTTGCATCCATGATTGGAAATTCAGCCAAGTATCCCATGCTCAGACTACTACAGCATCTACTAGTGCAAAAGTATACAACATTATAAAACCTCCACAAAGTCTCAATGACGTGAAAACTACTAAAAACTCCTAAATGACCAACACATCGTCCTCGCCAACTACAGCGCTACAGCCACACAAAGCTTCCTCGTCGCCATGACGGTTGCTAGGAGTCCGTCATTACGTAACGCGTAGAGCCGTACGGAGGCACGTAATGGACTCGCGCTCATGAATAATTCAAAACAGCCACCTTGTATCTTCAGCTATCTGTCCAAAAGTTTGTAGACACCTGTTCATCCTATGTGTTTTTCTGGAATCAAGGCTATTAATATGGAGTTTGCTGCAGTAACAGCCTCTACTTTTCTGGGAAGGTTTCCCACTAGTGCTGGAACATTGCTATGAGAATCTGATTGCATTCAGCCACAAGTAGTAGTGAGGTCATGTGCTGATGCTGGACCTTTTCAGGAAGGTTTCTAACAAAATCCTTAGTAAACAAAAAACTCTGCATAATGTTCTACTTATAACTGGAGTACACTAAAGTTAATCTGTGGACTAAATAAATCACTGAGAGTAAAAGAAAATAGTCATTACTTGGTTTGTACCGAAGGTTGTGGTTCAGTAATAGTGATGAAGGGAGGGAGAGGGGTGACTGCTGTCAAATCATGTGATGGCCACACTTTTTCTTTTTAATTTGTAATGAAGACAGAAAGCTATGCAGAGATGCCTGGGATGTTTTCACTTGACAGTCTAAATATTTTATGCGCAGAATGACACATGGTCATTAAGTCATTCTGAGCTGCTTCATCATTATTAATAGATGCTGAGTCTTAAGAAGGGCACAGCACAATTTGATTCATTATTTAAAGCGACTGTGGGGGTCTCTAGGTGGTTCCCATCCAAGCCGGCTGCACTGATCTGTGGAATCATCACATACTAACCCATTTATACCGTGGGTTTCCCTTATCTTAAAATCCATATATTTAAAACACAAAAATAAATAAATTACATATTTACAGTCATATGCAAAAGTTTGGGTGCCCCTACATGTTTTGTTAATTTTCTAAGTGAAAATAATTGAACATATCTTCTACAGAGGACACACTTCCACACCTTTTAATATCTAATAATAATGATAATAATAATAAAAATAATAATAGACAAATAATCAAAAAATACAATGTATTCCAAAAGTGAACTCAAACAATTACTATAGTTTACTGATATATAAAATTACAGAGGAAAAGATTTTATAGATTGCTATAAAAAGTATCACAGTACTATAGAAATATTACAGTGTCTTATAGTATTACTACACAATTTATTTGTAAGAGATTTTTGATACTTTATACATTTCAGAGTATCATTGTAACTGAACACCACGCATATCTGTTTTTACATTGTACATAGCCAACATTTAAAATGTCAATCAAAAAATACACGTTGATAACAGACCTATTGAGGAAATATCTTCAGGTATTGCCACACTGCAAAGGATTTTTATTGAGGAATCAATACTTACAGTCCAAGAATAAACCTGTCTGGAAAACCCACCATGGATTTTTATATTTTTGGTGGCTAAGCAATTAATATGCTTACGTAAGCAATTACATCTTCCCACTGTTCTTGTCTCACTCCCCGCCTCCCCACCTTCCAAGAGTCTACCGGCATAGATGCGCCGTCTGAGGGAGAATCGTTGGGATCCACCTTGCAACCAGTAAGTAAAAAATGTTTTGAGGGAAACAATTTGACTTCAGTTTCTCATTTTAATTACAACCTCCTTCTTTTAACTCATGCAGTTCGTGTTTTTTTCTTTTTAACGTCTACTGCGGTGTTGTTTTCCAGCCGGGGTCTGTGAAACAAAGGAAAGTGGGTGCATATAATTAGATGCTAGGTGTAGCCCTGAGGATTTCTCTCAGTTCTCAGCCACCGCCCCGTTTATCAGTGTAAAATAGCTGTGTCATTAGTCTTTCTAGTTACACAGTGACTGGGGTGTTATATGTGTTATGTAGGTTGTATGTTCTTATATGAAGTGATTATGCAGTGCTGAGAGGGACATTATCAAACGGTTGTAACGAGGCGTGTACCACTACACTCCCCGCAGAAGCAGCATGTGCGCATGCGCTAGTAGTTTTACCCCACCCGTATTCCGTCTGCTCCCGCCTCCCGTGCAAGCGGATTGGACAGTGAGATCCGAAACCCTGTGCTACGATTGGCTAATAGTTCACACACGCGAGGAGTCCGACGAATCAGCGGGGTCTGTCGGAATACGAGTGGGACAAATTAAATAAATAAATTATAACCCCAGGCTCGTGGTCGTGTGTTAACCCTTTTAGCTAATATAAGCGCTTTTAGCTACCGAACACGAGCAGAGAGAACAGAAAGGGAAGCTGCCCAGATAAATTTCTCTTTTGTTTAAAAAAATGTAACAACTCAGAGCAACTTAATATCATAGACTAAATCCCTTTTTGTGGAAGAGTCACAATGAAATTTCCAGTTGAGAATCCGAGGAAACAAGTGAACTGGGAGTGCGAGACAGGTTGGGTTTTTAATTTCTCCTATCAGTTTTATTTATGTATTTACTTATAAATTGTGTTAATATTTTCCTTGGTTTACGATATCCTTGGATATCATATGCATAATGATTTAAAATTATAATAATCAGGCTATGTCTTTGTTGCCTGGTGCATCTTTCTATGCTATTTAGTTTTCTTTATTTGTATAATAACTTAAAGACTTTTCTTTGTGCATGCAAGCTTCTTTACATTTTGACATGCTTAACTGTATATAGTTATAGAAAATGTTAGTATGTTATTTGCATGGATATTTAAGCTGCTTGTCATGAGCTTGTAAATCTTATGGGTACATCCACAGAGTGGACATACCTTAAAGAAAATGTTTATAGTAAGTAAAGGTGCTTAAAATGTTAATGAGCATCAGTGATAGGGGAGTGATGGTGGTGGTTGGTGGATCATGTTAATTAAAGTTGTGTCTAATGTCATAATTAAGAACCTCTGTCAGCAGTGTTAGAAAGTTCCAGAAAATGCTAGGCAGAAGTGTTTACTGACCAAATCTGTAGATCCCTACACTAAAATCAGTGCTTTGGAGTGTCATGTTGTTAATGTAATACAGGAATGTAATAAATATGGACTGTGTTTTTATGAAAATGTGTCATATACTCAGAATTTGCCTTTTTTGTATTTCGATTGTGACACTTCTACAACGTGATTGAATGCATGCCTGAAGGTGCTGACTTAACCCTTGACATTTTGATTATTGAATCTTTCCATTATGCTTTGGGCTTTGTTGGACACTTGCTAAGGTGCCAGTTAACAGGATTTATATCTCATGGGATGGAGACGTTGTGCAGCATTTGCCAGCAGTGCTTCCCGGCTGTCCTTGAGTCACTCTATGTGGCTGTTCAATTTCATAAATTGATAATTAGGTAACAAACAGTAATGGCATAGTGTATTTATGTTAAGGGCAGTTTTACCACACATTTTAAGGCAATGCACAAAATATGTGCTGAGCTTAAAATATGAAAAAAATCAGAAAACAACAGACAAACAGAAAATGCATTAAGAAATGTTTTCTCACCTAAGATATGTGATTTTGAGCTATAAAAAAAATAGATGCTGCAGTTTGTGTTGGTATAACTACTCTTACTACTCAGTAAAAACTGATCTGCTTACTGTTCAGAGTTTCACGGTACAATTGCTACTTGGGTTACTGTGTCAAAACGTAGTGAGAGTTCTGTGGCTTCAGCATTACATCATTGGCTGTCCAGACTCCGCCCCATTGTGCGCCACAAAGGGAAACAGTTCCCCTCGGTTGGGCAGGGGGGCTTGCAAGTGAGCATCTTGTAAGAATCTAAAAAAATGGGCGGCTCCTTTGCTTTGTCCTCCACCTTGAGTGACCCCGCCCCACCCTTTTCTCTAAATTCTATTATAGCTCACAGTATGCCTCCGTTGGAAATCAGTGACCCATACAGAATGGCAATTAGTCTTTCTCTTGTGAAGGTCACTCACCTATTAAAAAGATTGCAAAGTGATTTAAAGTATCTCAAAAAAATATGCCCTGACCTCACATTCAACTTCAATTTCAAAGATTGGACCAGGTAAACTATCCTTCACTTTGTGGACTAAACATAAACCGGAATAGCCCTCTGAACATTTATGGCTGCTAACAATGATGAATTGTCTCAACACTTTATGGCATTTGGAAGATGCTACTTACAGAATTGATCACACTGGAGATCTGGTGTCCTCTCAGCTTCCTTTTAGTAGGTAAACTAAATTTACTGCTCTAATGAAATGCTGTGCATTGTTGGTTTACATACAGCGAATGAAATAGTTACTGCCTGTGAAACAAAATAGAATATTTTGGTCCTGTTTCCCGGACATGGATTAAGTTTAGTCTAGGAAGTAGAAACTGCTGTGCCAATGGTGAATCATTGTAAATTGTTTTTAGTCTAGGTTTAGGAATAATCTGCTTCTGGGAAACTGGCCTTTATGGTAGGGATGAGTTTCATACAGTGGATTACACCACATAAACCCAGAAGAGAATGCGCAAAGCCAGATTTGCACTTTAAACCCTTAAGTGGAACTACTGGAAGATCCAGGTTTCTGTTCCTCACATCTATAACTTAAGAAATAGTTAAGTCAGTTTGTGTTGCTTTCCATGTAATTACTGAAAAACAAGTCTTAGAATTTTAGGTGTAAAGGTTTTATCAGTGAGTGGAATTATCAGTAATTCACTCGGTTATCGGCTGAATAAATCTTATCTCCCTCTCTGTAGTGGCGATTCAGACGAACATGGCCGCCCCAAAGAAGCCACAACCTGCTGCTGCGCAGGCCACACTGGTCCAGGCCAGCGTGGCTGCTGTACAGAACCCAGTGGGCTGTGAACTGAAGGGAAATGACCACTGTCTTCTACCACGGCTGTCTATCTCCTCCCGCTCAGCTAGTATAGTTCCCAACATGGATGCTGGAGCGGACAGCTCAGCCCTCCACTCTGTCATGAAGTGGAAGACAGTGCTGGCAGTGTTTGTGGTGGTGGTTGCCTACCTGGTGGTGGGTGGATTGGCATTCCAGGCATTGGAGCAGCCCTTTGAGAGCGACCAAAAGAACACAATCACCCAGGAGAAGGCCTTGTTTCTCCAGAGGAACCCCTGTGTATCCCACGAGGAGCTTGAAGCCCTAATTAAGGTAAGCTCATTGGCAGTGGCTCTTGCAAGATGTCCTTCTCTCCAAATATGTTAGATCAGGAATTAAAATACCTAGCTCCCAGAATACTTTTAATCAAAATTTACCTTAAATGACTTTGATTAACCCTAAGAAGTTGAGAGGTATTACTTTCTTTTTGCTATGGTATTCTTGTAATTTCATAATTATGTATTTAATCACGCAGTGTGTTACACAATGAATTACATTTACATTCAGTTTACAATTTGTATCGACAACTTTGACTTTTTTCCATTTGTTTTAATGTCAACAATGGCAAAAATGGCAATAATGTTATGAATTGTTTTTTAAAACACAAGGCTGTATGCACAACAGTAACATTTTTCAAGTTAAAATGTCATATCATAATAAATATAATACAAATGTGATATTGATTGAACGTTGAAAATCTGTAATTCTGACGCAACTTCTTAGCTTTTCAGAGAGATACAAGTGAGAATAATTCAAATCAAATTACACCGTGCTCTTGTTATTGCTGTCAATAACTGCCACTTCTAAGGGTTAACATGTAGTTTGGCAGAACTGAGTATAAGAGCACTTATGGTATGTAATGTGAATCATACATTTATAGACACATTGATCTATTTTGTAAAATGATCAAAAATTGTCACACAGTAAATATAAAACATATAAAGACAAATTCTCTGAGGGCCCTTTTAAATGTCCTCCAGCTGAGAATGGTGAGATGCCTGTGGGCTCCCTACCAGAACACTGCTATTAAAACTTCAACTAGCACAGGGCTGTAATAAATACCCAATGTCATATGTAGACTGACAAGTGATCCCTCAGGATGTAAATGGCTCTGTAAGCCCTGATTAATACAGACGCTTCAAATATACTGACCCTGACTTTGGGCACAAATGTACCAGCCGTGCTTCTTATATAACGATCATAGTCTTGGCACCGGAGACCTCAGGATGAGAAATAAATATAAGCAATTAGAAGCTTGGACTGACTTACCTTCAGGAAAAGTATCTCTGTTATGTAACATTCTGAGGAACCACCATACACCAATTACAGTTAAACTGATATAAAACCAAACTAGCCGGTCTAAGAAGCTGTGTGCTGGGGGTGGATACCTTTATTATCCTCAATGGGAGAGTGTCTGAGGTAACTTACACATATGGACTGATCTCAGAAATGATAACAATATTCACTCAAACACACACAAAAACGCTTTTCCTTCCTGCCCTCTGTCCATTGGGCAAAGGGCAGGATACACCCTGGACAGGTCGTCAGTCCAGCGCAGGGCACAATATTTACATAAAGTTGGAAATGTATCAAAGCTAAATCCTTTCACTTTCAGTATTGCTTGGTTTTGCATCCTTAATGCAGAATAAGCCTTTTCATTTGGACTGTGCCTATAAGCTGTCTCAGTAACACTATTACATCTTATTCTTATTTTTTAAAATAATCATATATGATTATCATATATGACTTTAAAAAAAATCAGTTCCTAAATATTTCTTTGCTCTCATGTATAGATTTTGGAAAAACATTTTTAATTGTTATTAAATAGAACCTTTACACACCACACATTTACATTATGTGGAGGTTCTTTAAACTTTAACCTACATTTTTGTTTTTTGTTTTTTTACATACATTTTTGTTACTGTGTCTTTAAACTCATATATGTAAATGATCTCTGTCCTGATTGGCTATTTTGTATTTTGCATTCCAGGCTGAATAGGCTAAACTGCTATAGCCTGGATAGTTGGATAAACATAAATGCTTTGGGACGTGACCTCAAAATCGGTCATTTTTGGAGCACAGGTTCCATATGGACTTAGTATGTTTTTAAACAAATACATTTTTTAATCAGTGTTTATAAACCGTATCAGACTGTTTTATTCCTCTATTTTGGTACCTCCTGGACATCAATACATCTTTTCTTACTGAAGGTGTTTCCTCCACCCCTAAGACCATGTGATCAAGCCAGTGGCCATAAATGTGCAGAGGAGAGTGTTAATTCGACTGTTCTAGAGACTAGATCCTGAGAAACTAGTTATTTGTTGTGTGGTCTACTTGTGCCAGAGCTGTTCAAGAGGACTATGCGTCAGTCATTCGGTAAGCCACAGGATGTGGGAAGACAGCAGATATGTGTCACAGGTTGTTTTCTTGCTATCATATCATATCACATCAAGATCATCAACTGCTGCACCATAAGCACATGCGCACTTTATTGCTGGTTTCACAAACAGACTTTGTGTTGAGACTTTTGAGAGAGAGAAGCTTGTTGGTTCTCTCTGCTACACACCGTAAGAACAGAAACATACTTGGAATGGCAGAGATGTAACCAATCACAAAGAAGTACAAATATTGCCACCGCCAAACATTAAAATTAAACACAAAAATAGAATTAGTAACGGAGAAAAATGTAACGGAGTAAAAAGATTCCTCTACTCATTTTAGTAGAAGTAAAAGTAATATGATTTGAAAGTGAATAAAAATCATCAATATTTTAAATGTAACTAGTTACTACCCGACCTCTGAGTAGGTTTATAAATACATGCCATTAGCATAATATTAAAAGCAATTTAATCAGTGGCCCACTTGAATTTTGTCACTCAGCCAGCCATTGTTTTGAAACATGTTTTGCCCCACCACTTTTGGAGGTGTGGCACCACCCCTACAACAGGTAAAGTAGTTTTCAAAAGATGTTGGTTTTATATGATGTTTTATTAAAGTTTTTTATTAAAACAGTAACTGTTAAAAGCATAAAAACTCAAAATAGTTTAGAAAGTAAGTCTAAACTGCTGCTATCTGCGTGTATTTGGTGGGGGATTGGTTGTTGGGGGGGATATAATCGATTCTTTTTAACTAGAAAATATCTTGACATTTGTTTGTAGATGCCCAGGCCTACCCTAGTGAGATGAAATAGTTTCCAGCATGCTTGATATCTCCTGCATTTAATGCTTTGTCATGCTTGTCATGCTGCCTTCTCCCCACCCTGGTGTTTGAGACCAGCTGGAGTGATGCAGTGTTGTTCTGCTTGACGGGGGCGTCGGATGAAAAAGCGAATTTGAGGAGGTTTGAACAGTGGTGACTCAAAACCTCCCACCTGCCTGCTGTTTTCCCACAAGGATGCTGGCACAAAAAAATCCTCTTTTTACCTGCGTCCTGCGGTGGAGAGATGATTCAGAGCAAACTACCCATTTCTAATCACAGACTGCTTTTCTGCTAAGTGCTAACTTGACCTTTCAGTCTTACTGTAGTGACAGCAAGTTACCGTTAACATTCAACTCCCTGCTCAGCTGTTTAAAGCCCTTTTACAGTCACTCTTACAAGAAGCTGTTTTCTGTTTCATAAGCAACATTCTGAATTTTCAGTGTAAGTCAAGGCGAGCAAGATTTTATTCAAAGTCATTTTGGACAGTTTCTATTGGTCAGTTCTTCATGACATTTTGTACACAGTGTAAAAAGGCAGCTCATATTTTCAGATAATATAAAAAAGTAAAAGGCAAAAAAAAGGTAATATGGTTTTACTCTGACAGCAACAATATGGAGAATATTGTATTACTGTATGTAGATTTTATTACATTTCAGTGCTTAAAATTTGGTTATGTTGCTATGTTATTGCTATGCTATGTTACATTGCAACATTATTATTATCATTATTATTGTTTTCAGTGCATTTTTAATATTTAGCTTAGCCTATTACGATGCGACACTCTTCAGTTTCACTTTGGGCTTATCTTTAAGGATTTTGCACTGCCATATTATTGTAGCTTGTGTTAAAACATGTGGCCCATAAAGGAAGTGTGGCATGGCACCTTTGATTTCCTATGCATGAAAAAACAAAAAGACAGTCAGACCACCATATTGATTAAATCAGTAGAACCCTTGAGATGGTGTAGTATTGTGTATAATATCATGGCTGTGATAATCCCTCTGCTTGCACTGTAGATTTAATATTGGCAGTTCCTTCTACCATGAAAAAGTAATAGCCATTTGCATTACAGAAAGAGCCATAAAACAATATCAGGTTCAGCCTTTTCAGTATTTGCCAGGTTAACTGGAATGTCCTTTTGTTTCAGCCAGCATGAAAAGCATTTCGGAGTTGAATTGTTTGCCGAATTGTATTTTGTTCATTTCTGGCTAATTCCAGTTTGTTTAGTTGTTCCTCCATCACAACTACTGAGCTCACTAAGGGGTGACAGTAAGTTCAGAATTTGATGTTGGCCTACTGTCTTACTCCTCCAGAATCTGACCAAACAGGGTTACAGAACTTTTCTAAAGTAGTTTTGGTCTGTTTTTGTATGTGCTTATATGGAAACTTAGCATCAGTTAGCTGCAGCGTAAAGCAAGACGATACTTTGCAGCTGGTGCTTTGTGGAGTGAGACAGTGATAGTGAAAAAAAATGCTGTTATCACAAATAACTATATGGGTAGAACACTTTTCAACCATTCGCACTGAGCTATCAGAACCAAGCACTGTATAAGTGCAATCAAAGACTGTTCTCATACACTCTGTATTGGTCAGTATCATTGAAAAATAGATACACAAATGTTTTACACAAGGATACACAAATGATAGACTTCTGTGCTAAAAAAGCAGCTTCCACTGACTTGAACATGTGGCATTGTAAATATTTCATAAGCATAGCTCTCTGGCAGAGTCAGCAGTGAAGGTGTGTGGGAAGCAGTGACAGTCGGGATTTTACTGCCCTGATTTGGTCACGGCACAATGTAAATGGCACTGGTGTGGAAAGCACTTGATATTTAAGACTTTTTATGAAAGATGAATAAAATTTGAACAGTGATGCTTGTTAATTAGTGATTTGTACTGCAAAGCAAAGTTCATGAATAGAATAATATGCACTGAAGGCTGAAAGAGTCTGACAACATTACTGTTCAACACACATAAAAAAGATGGTTCTTCCAGGGTTCTTTAGTAAAGGCAGTAGTTTTATTTAGAACCATGAATTAAGCTTATAACAATAAAAGAATGCTTTTTGGTGCTATATAGAACATTTTCGAACTACCACATACAACACATTCTCCATCGATCTAAAGAAGCATTTCACAATGCCAAGAACCATTTAAGCATGAAATGGTTTTATACAGAACTCATGTTACTAAATAGAATCATTGCCTTTACTAAATAACCATTAAGGGACCATCTTTTTTTAAGTATGTAGCATATACAGTATAACGACTTACATGGATTAATCCAGACAGATGCACAGATCTTATTGCTTGTTTAGATGGGAAAATAATAAATTAAATTCCCTTCCACTTTCAGCCGGTGGTCAATTTGATCTACATCTGTGATTTATGAATAAACTAGGAGACCAGTTACCTAGCAATATGTGCAGTACACTTAATCAATAAAACATATTGACTGAAGCTGTAGGGCTTACATTTTCTACAGGCGTGTAGAAAAATGATACAAATAATTGGTTCAATAAATAGTCTGTTTGGCCTCTGTTTTAACACTGCAATAACATCAAGGAATAATGTGTTTAAGATTAGGCCGGGGAATAATATTCTTCTTGACTTATTGGATGACCACAGTGAAGCCAATAAATGTAACCTCAAACCGAATGAGCATCTAAGCCTGGCTGCTGAGCAGGAGTGGTCCTTCTGTTGCCAAAGCAGCTTTAGCACAGGAAAAATAGAGAATGGATGTGGATATATGTCTGCTGTGTCCTGCACTGTTCCTCTTCTGACCTCTGGTACATCTGCAGTGTTGATGTGACCACCTTCCTCTGTATTACATAATCAGAGTACCAGATGTGCCTGTTGCTTTTATTGTGCATTGATAGAATAATGACAGGCCTGAGGGCCCTGAAGTGTATTGTTTGATGTTATAGATGGAAACTGGTTGAATATCACAGGTTAGTCGCAAAGCAAGAATTAAACTGCAAGGCAGAAGATTCTTATGCATTTCTCTAAGTTGTATCTACTTGTTACTTGTTGTCTCTTCAGCATGCAGTAGATGCGGTCAGTGCTGGCGTGAGTCCAATTGGAGACACGTCCTATAACTCCAGCCACTGGGACCTTGGCAGTGCCTTTTTCTTCGCTGGGACAGTCATTACCACAATAGGTAAAATTATTTTACTCTCATCGAAGTCTTCCAGATCTCAATCACATAATTAACCCTTTTATATATAGTTAGAGGAAAATTGTTTCGTGTTAATATTTTAATATTAATATAGTGCTAATATAATATTTAAGGTTAATAATTAACAAAAGTAACTACAATGGTAGTATATTGAAGGAAGCCTCTGTAACTTTCAAAAAAGATCATCATATTTGGAAAAAATAATCCAATAATTGGTCTTTATGTGCACTCTACCCTCTTTTATTCTATGTTTAAGACAATTTTTTATTTTACTATTTTATGGCAACTGTTTAATGTTATTCTTTTACTGTTCTATTTTATTTACTATTTTATTAAATTATTTTATTTTTAAGATTTTTAGTTTTCTTATTGCTTATTATCTTATTTGGCTCTTTTACTTACTTTTTAGTTGTTTTGATTATATATGGTATTGTCATTTATGTCTATTTCTTATTCGAGCTGTTTTATTTTCTTTATAAATCTTCTTGTCTTGCTGATTTTTCTTTATCCCTGTTTGACTTGCTGCGCTACGTTGTAAATAAGGGTCACCCTCAATGTACTTCCGAGTCTAAATAAACATTGGTTGATTGAATATAATTTATTTTAAATATTCATTGAGATTATTGAGCAATTAAATTATTACTAGTGGTCAAATTAGCATTCATCTGAAGTATTGTTTAAGAGTAGCAATGTAATTTAATTTTGATTTGTTGTCTCTCTTAATTAATAACTTTATGTAATGCAACATTATGGATAGCTTTAGTACTGAAAAACTCACTGAAGCTTCTCATTAGCCTTAAACATACTGTAGTACAATGCAGAAATTGATTAAGCTTTCAAAAACACTGATAAATCTCTTTGGTCATAAATAGGAATCTATTGTACAGTGACACGCCTTTGTGTTTTCAAAACACATTTTAAATATCATATCTGATATCTGTAAAAAATCAAACCCAAGTTCATGATTCTGGTATAGAAGTAGCCAAGATTACAGATTTACAGCAACGCAGAATATCCAGAAAACATGATAGAAGCATTTTTGTCTTTTGGTAGACACATCACTGATATATTAAGTTGCTGTACATGTTATTCATATTTATTCATATTTATTTCTGCTGTATAAAGAGATAAGGGAAGACGTACAGTTTATTTTTCTGGAGCTAGAACTGCAACTGTTTGCCTATTGTCTCGCTCTTGCATTATTTTTATCTCAGCAGTCTGTAATTACTGCCACTGTCTCTCAATGCAACCCAACAATTTTCCTCCTAATGATGTTGTTGTTTCTATAGAGTGAACCAGTAGCTGCTGTATGGCTTAGCTGAAGGGAATTAACCTCTTGCTTCTTATACACCCACATATGCAGGCTATGGGAATATTGCGCCAAGCACTGAGGGAGGAAAGATATTCTGCATCCTGTATGCCATTTTTGGGATTCCTTTGTTTGGGTTCCTCCTGGCTGGTATTGGTGATCAGCTTGGGACCATATTTGTTAAGAGCATTTTAAAGGTGGAGCAAATTTTCAGGGTAAGATTTTTTTCTCCCAGAGGATACTGAAGTCTTGTTCTGGTTTAAGATGAATATGCTGTTTTTTAGCACAAGATGTTCATGTTACTTACAACAGTAACCCAGTGTCTGCATACTACAATGCTATAAAACTTTTATGTGTATTTTCTTAGCTTATCAGGCATAAAATATATGTTTTGTCTGTTTTTATCTGCAGCAGAAACATAGACAGATTAGTCAGACCAAAATCCGTGTCACCTCCACTATACTCTTCATCCTGGCGGGGTGTATTGTTTTTGTCACTATCCCAGCTGTCATCTTCAAACACATTGAAGGCTGGACTGCGCTGGAAGCCATCTACTTTGTTGTTATTACTCTCACAACTGTCGGCATTGGGGATTATGTAGCAGGTACAGATATTTTTGATTTTTCTATTCAGGTTTCAAGGATACATTATAACGAAAAGCTTTTGGAAGTTCAACATTCAACAAATAGCAAAAGTACAAAAGACAAATCTTGAAGTGCCTTGAAGACAAAGAGCAGTAACACACAACAATAAATATGGTATAAAGAGGAGGACAAGTAAAACAAAGAATAATGTAACACAGCAAACACTATAAACTGTGTATGTGTAGTTTTAAGTATGACATTAAGCAACATAGTGTATACTAGTGTCACTTAATTTGCACTATTTTGTTTCAGGTTAATGAGTGAGTAGCAGGCAATCATTTGTTAAACCCCTTAAAATCCCAGGCTTATTACATGCTAATGCATATTATATAGTAACTACAGGGACTTCAATGCAAACCAACTGAGCTATTCTTAGTTTATAGAAGTGTGTAATAAAACTTTGGGCCTGCCAGTAGGCCCTGGCAATTTTAAGGGATTAAAAAGGTTTTTCATTACCAACAAAGTCTTGTTTATTGATGGCTTATGCTGAAAAGGTACTGAAAAGTGGTGATTTATTTTCAGGTGGGGACAGGAGGATTGAATACATGAAGTGGTACAAGCCACTGGTTTGGTTCTGGATCTTAGTGGGTCTGGCATATTTTGCAGCAGTTTTGAGTATGATTGGAGACTGGCTAAGAGTCCTTTCCAAGAAGACTAAAGAGGAGGTAAGAACTGAATTCCCAATTCATTTTTACACGATATGGCAGCATTTCATATAATCATTTGGAAATACTTGAGTAGCACGTAAAATCGTATAATTTGTTACTATCATAAGAAAACCTCCTACAGTCATTGCATTTCTTTATGCCATCTGAAAACACTGGTTGCTCTTACATTGTGTGAAGTTTTTTTTTTTTAAATACTAGACTCATTATTTATTAACTACTATGTAGTTATTCAGTAATTCATGTGAAACTACAATGTAAGTTACATAGTTATGAAAGGAATGAACTGATTCATCTGTGGGTTCATACACAGGCTATTAACGTTGCAATGTTGCAGTGATTACATCGATCAAATTGACATTGTAGTGGCATGTAATCATTACACTTAAGAGTAACGCTGATTGTCTGTGTGCGACTCAGGTTGGGGAGTTTAAAGCCCATGCTGCTGAATGGAAGGCCAACGTGCGGGCGGAGCTCAAAGAGACGCGACGGCGCCTCAGTGTGGAGATCCATGACAAGCTCCAGAGGGCGGCCACCATCCGCAGCATGGAGCGTAGGCGGCTTGGCCTTGAACAGCGAGCGCATTCTCTTGACATGCTGTCTCCTGAGAAGAGAGCTGTCTTCGCAAGCTTCGATGGAGGACGCTTCAAGACATCCTCTCAGGAGAACATCGATATGAAACTCAACAACCTCCATCTGAAAGGAGAGCAGTACGATAAGCCGCACAGCCAGCAGGCCTCCTCAGAGGAGAACATCTTCAACCGCTTCGGCTCCCTCACTAAGCTGGCCAAGCGTAACAGGACCAGGGAACAAAACAGGAACATCTCAGAGGACACACTCCGACCCAGAGCCTTTGAGGCGCTCAGCAGCAACAGCAGCAACACCACGCTGGCAGAGGAGAGACACGAGGCTGGAGAAGAGGAGGGTGAAGAGGAGGAGCTGATGGAGAAAGAAGAAAACACCGCCTTTACTTATCTGCCTCCGTATGCCAGGCAGCTCAAGCAGCAGAACGGTTTTGTGCCAGCTCAGGCCAAAGAAAGAGACAATGACAAAATGCTGGCAGAGAGAGAACATCAGCCATAGACAAACATGTTATGTGAAAAGGGGAGGCAAGTGATTCAGTAATGCCACAGAATGTGCCTTTCTGTTTTATATGCTATGGCTTGACTCCATCAGATGAATATTAGTCAACATTTACTGTTCCCAAACAACAAATTATGTTTTGGTTGCCAAAAATGTGAAGTGGATTCCTATCAAATATGAAGCATGTTATGTTTTTTACGTTGTGTGAAATATTTCCTGTTCAGACTCTGAAGACTGATGCAGCCATACTGTATGTATCCGTGCTTCAAAAAGGAGTTGTGATGGGAAACTAACCAATAACCTGTGGTTCCTTTGAAAGAAACTGCTGCTGACACCCAGTCACTTTGTGTCCAGACAAATCTGGGATGTGGGTTTACATAGTACATATCACAGATGTCAGTATATGTTGAATTTAATCACTGTTTTAAACCTAATTCAGCTGAATTAGAACAAATGAACAGATGTTTGTTCAACAACATCTTGACTGTATGTAATGAGTTTATTCAAAATTCAAAAAAATGGAAGTGTGATATGCATGAAATGTGCTGCATTCATTTAGTTTATTAATCACGATTTTAAAAGTAAACAAGATTAAAGCACTACTGATAATAATCATTATCCAAAACCGGCTGAATAACTGTGAAAAGAATGTCCAAGAAATATATCATTACCAGGAACTGTCTGCACCAACCTGTCTCACTCAAGAACTTATGTTATCTGTCCATTTGATGCATCACTCACTCATTTTGTTTTGATCATAAAATAAAATTTGTCATCTTAGAAAAACACATATCATGCACAATATCTGAATCAGAACTGATATTGTTTTGTAACAGTGTTTTTGGTCATTTTTGAAATGTTTCCCAGTTAAGTTGCTGCCAATTTCCGTGTAATTACTACCATTTTCCTGGGTAGTGTTGGTCTTTCACCTATTGCACGTTGGTCTTGGAGGATTAAAGCCAATATGTACATCTTTCTGTGTGTATGAAGCCCAAAACTGTGGCTTTTCCAGCGACTGCCCTGACAGTGTTGTTGAGTGTCCTAATGTGCTAGAAAACCTAGTACTCAACTGGAAAACCTGACCAGACTGATGCCTGAGTGGCCTGCTCATGAAGACAGCTGCACCTTTGGCCATGCCCCAAAATGACAAACACCTGGGAACCATAGCTTTAGCATTCACTACAACAGGGCTAGTTAGAGCTATTACTGAGCGTTCCCTTAGAGAAATTTACAGTCAATCTCTTGAAATGGATAATGCGCATTCTGTTGGATAAAATGTATGCATTCCCAAGCAGTGAGAAATGGGTTAGACAATGGTTTTGTCTTTCAGTTCTGAAGTGGCTTATGCCAGTAGTGGCAACCTTTTCTCACAAATTAGTTTAAATGCCTTCTGTGAACATTCAAATATCACTACAAATAATTGTCAGTTGATTTCAAGAGTTGTTGGGCAAACGCTACACAAAACGTAGTGAGTGCCTTTTGAAAATAAATGCTTAATGACTGGTGACATCACACATCTTGAGGTTTTGATACTTGATCTTTTTTTCTTGCAGAGCATCATTAGTATTTTGATTAGGTCATATTTATTTACAGTCATATGTAAAAGTTTGGACACCCCTGGTCAAATTACATGTTTTGATGATTTTCTAAGTTAAAACACACGTGTGTACATTTTAATGCACAGTCACTGTTCATTTGTTGAATGTAACATATTGGAAAAAAAATAAAAACATAAAAAGTAGCCTGTGAAAAAGTTATGGCACATTTTTTATTATGTTTTCTATTTTTTTCCAATATGTAAACTCAGCAAGTAAATAGAAAAACTGCCTAATATTTAGAGAAAAAAATGGCATATTTAAATGTGTTCCCTGTAGAGGATGTGTTAGCTTATTTTAAAAAAATCAATAAAAGATGTGATTTGTAAAGCTGAGGCGTTCAAACATTCGTATCTGACAGTATCTTGTTACTTATGACTAATAGTGCACTTGTGATGATTTATGGTTAGTCGAGATATGTACACTTTCAAAAATGCACTTTACAATGATATCAGTTTTGACTAACATGATGGATGTTCCAAAGATCCTATAAGTGTAAAAAAAATTGTAAAGTGCACAACAACTTTTTGTACATACTATCTACGTACACATTTAGAAAACCTTTAGCTAAAGCATAAACTGGGCTTGACCCTCTATGACAGGATGTCACTGATCATATCTACAGAGGACGGATGTGGCTGCTGGTTTTCCTTCCAATAAAGCAGAAGTACACACGATTCCACTTGTTTAATCAGTTCATCTTGGTCTTCATCCAACTGATTGCTTATATTAAGTATGCCCTTGCTTGGCTGGAACACTGGCCCTTTGAGGATTTGATTGGTGACACCAGCTTCATTAGGCACACATCCCTTCTCCATGAAATACTGCTGAGTCAGAGACACTTCCTAGGCTTGTGCCTGAGGGTTGATGCATCTGTCTATCAAGCATGGTGGAGGTATAGTGTTATGGCATGGGCATGTATGATTGCCAGTGAAACTGGTTACATTGTGTTTATTAATGATATGACTGCTAACACAAAGAGCAGGATGAATTATGAAGTGTATAGGGCTCGTATCATATCATAGCTTATCTGCTCAGATTTGGCCAAATGCTTTAATACTCATTGGACGGCAGTTCATAGTACAAATGGACAATGACCTGAAGCCTACTGTGAAAGCAACCCAAGGCTTTTTTTTTTTAATTTGTGATTGTAGTTTGTCTTTCTAGCCCCTAAAAATGGGGGTCTGTCTATGAAAATGCTTGTAATTCCTACATCATTCACCTGATTTGGATGTAAATTCCATCAAATTAAATCTCATAAAAAAGCTCATATTCATCTTATAAAAAAGCTCATATTCATTATTTCATTTCACTCGAATATGCTATAGTAGACTTTGTCGATGTCCAAATATTTAGACCTGACTGTATGAGGTACAGATGTAGGATAGATGTTTCTAGTAAAGTAGAAAGTCAGGGCCTCATTTATAAAACATTTGTATGCATAGATTTGATCTTGATTGTACATAAAATTTCCTGTTTAAGTAATGTTTATGAAATGCGAATTTGACATGAAAATGTATGTAAAGGAAGAGTCTGATGTTGTGTACAAACGTTTTATAGTGGCAGTGCTAGTGTTGTAAGGACATTAGAGTTCTCACTTCATTAATTAAATTGATTTTTCATTAATTGAATTCATGATTTTTAAAAAATCATTCATACACAAATGCCAAGAAACAAATTGAACAAATTGGTAGCACTTTACTGTAGGGCAGTGTTTGTAACGCTATATCACACTTACATAAGCCTTTAATGACAATTGACATAAACCTACATAAACATCAATAAAGGTTTATTCCAACAAGCGTCAGTTGTTATAAAGGCAGCTTTTGTCAATTTGAATGTAATTTCACCTCAGCAATTAACACTTGTTGGAATAAGCCTTTATTAATATCCATATAGGTTTATGTCAGTTGACATGAAAGGCTTATGTAGGTGCAGTGTATCCTTATAAATGCTGCCGTTCAAAGTAATACTAACAAAATTAAAAAAAAACAAAAAACAATTCAAGTACTTTTTAAGGCCCAAAGTGTATACAAATCAACAATAATGGCAATAATCCTCATTTGTTCTCTCACATAGACCTCAGGTAATGTACCTCTGCCCGTGTACCACTCAGCTAACTGTCGCCACAACCATTGAAACAGTGCCGCAGTGGAGCCATTCCTTTTATTATGCAATCTGAAAGAAAGATGTTTGCAAGGTTCAGGGGACCTTCACCAGCTTCTGCTGTAAGAAAGAGGTGAAGATGGATGGTTGCAGGGCTTTACATGGTCAGTCTTACCTTAAATCACTGCACGCCCTTGTCACTTCTTGCCTGGCAGTCTGGATATAAACTGTCAAAAGAGTCTTTTACAGCAAAGAATGAAGGCAGATTGAGGTGAATCATGCAACACTCATTATAAACACGTTAGAAAGAAAGATTTGTGGTGAACACTTCAGATTTTAAGTGCATGAAGAAACATTTCCTGTTTCTCTCCTCTTTAGCATTGACTACTTCTCATAAATTATCCCAAAAGACCTGCTAAAACTGACTGAGGGAAACAGAGCTGAGGTAGTATGTCCTGACATGGTGTATGTGCATGTTTGTGTGTGTGTGCTTCAATGAAAAAGGCCTCGTATATCGTATGTGTAGCAATAAACACAGTACAGTGCCAGTTGTCTTTTATTTAACTCATTAATCTGGTCTATGTCTCCTCCCTAGTCCTATCCCTTGTCATCTGTTCCACCTGTCTGTAGTCTGTAGCCCCACCCTCTCATTAGTCCCATGTGTTTTTTATTTCCCCTTAGTGTATTTATATTTATACCCCTGTGTTGGCTCAGTCCCTTTGTCTTGTATTGCCTACGTGACCCTGGTGCTTGTTTTCACTCGTCTTTTTTTTTTGTTCCTAGTTCAGTTCTTTTTTTCTCTGTTTCGTTTCATCACGGGGTCTCCTCTATGTACTTCTGCTACTCGGTGTCTGGACTTTGTTAAATCTGATTTCAATAAAATTTTTCAATTTGCATCCAGCCTCGTCGCCTCCAGCTTTACAGAATTCAAACTTCTTGCATATTAAATATGAATTTTTGAATATGATGTATGAACAGCAGACATCTACTTTTAATTGAGTAATAATTAATGAAAGTTATTTCTACTTTTACTTAAGTACCGGAGGTGTATACTTTGTCCACTGTTGATCAATGCAAACCAATGATAAAATAAATTAAACATTCTTAAAGTTTGCATTTTTTTTTATTTCTATTTTTTGCTTCATTATTTGAAATTATAGCCTTTTAACACTGTGCCAGCTGTCCCCATAGCAAGTGGCAAACAATCACATGTTGGGCCTGGTTGTCACAAGTGAACAACATGAATTAAGTCATGAACCCACTAATTCTGGGAAATATTTCCTGACATTCCACATGCCCTTTTTTAACTAATATCATTTCAGCTTTTGTTTGCTGATAGATGGTTTATCCTGATGTATGTTATGTGAAAACTAGCCAGCCAACCCCACTCACCTCTAATTTGGTCAGTTAACAGATGCTTGGTTAAGAACTGTTTTTTTCCTCCTCCTTGAACTTACCGTTGTGGAGATAAGATCGAGTCTACAGTGTTTTTCTTTACTTTAGTGCAGAAGGCTGAAAGATAATTGTGTTCAAATCAGGTGAGGATTCTCTCTCAGCCATATCACAGCATGAGCAGCCTGATAAGGAATGCATGCTCAATAGATGATTTGCTTTTATCTGCAGACAGACTGGCGCTTGATTCCTCCATTAAAGAATGTAAATTATAGCAACGGTTTGATCTGAGAGTGCTCGAGAGAGCCCATGGATGTCCTGCAACATGCTAGGAGCAAAACAATGCAACTCTGTACAGTGCAATTGCCTTAGAAACTGTCAATATTGTGAGCCTCACTGCGCTGGACTTTCACGCTAGGCACTGACTCGACTGTCCAGTAGGATGGAAAAGAGAAGAGGAAGCGCTTTAGAGACAGATGTTGGCACTTGGCAGCGGCAATGAAAACATCGCTGACACTTCAGAACAATTTCACCAGCTGGAAGGAAAAAGACACAGTAGGAAAAGGGTGCAGAGCACAACGTGCTAAAAGAAGGTTAAGGTTAGAGGGGCTTTAGGAGGACAGGCAGGTGGTGGCTGATGAAAGTCCAGTCTAGGCCAAATATAGCCACACAAAGCACACTTGCCAAACCA